GGCAGGCCACAGGCTGGTGCGCGAGATGAATAGAGGAGACACTGGGTGGACGGCAGACGATATGTGGACCTGACTGTGACAATTGCCTGACTATCTCAGTAGCTGCCACGATCACGGGCGCTGCCAGCCAAGAGCGTTGTTGTCCTAGGCGAGACCTCACGCCTCACTCTGCTCTCATTCTGCGCTGCTCGTGTTGTCCGAGACACCTGCAGTAAACAATACTTAGAGCTTGCATCTACAAATACGGGGCAACACCTGTTCGTCGCGCTCCAAGCATGCTCTAGTAGAGTACTAGAGTGCATGCACACAACGGTTACCCCAGTCACCACCCACCCAGCAGCAGCAGCTTGATGTGGTAGCGCGAAGAGAGGCCGGATGCCGGCCGTAGTCTCCAGGGCTGCAGCTACATCGCAGACTCACGTCAGAAGCCTACCTAAGCGACGGGGCGTCACATGTTCCATGGTTTTGCCTGTCGCTAACCGCAGATGCATGCCCAAGATAGAGATACAATCATCAAGACGACTATTCACCACTACCATGGCAACCTCTCTTGTCCGTCCATGACGTAGAGAGGCTCGACCGATGGAATAAACAATTTCTGTGAGGTTGGACGTGAGACTGCTCCACGTGCCGCCCAGCCACTCTCGTGTTAGCTCGCCCCAGGCATCTCAGACGTCGGTGCACCCAACGTGGTCGCCAACACTGCCAGGATAGAGTGTCGTGCCCTCGCGCTCCCAGTCCGGCCCTTCACTCTGCTGCTGCCGCACACCTGCGCCACACGCCCTCGGCACCATGACTGAGGAGTCGTCTTCTGTCCGCTCGTCTCAGGGGTCATCGCGCCGTGCGCCCAAGAATGTACGTGGGCTCTCTCTCTTCGCATCCCGCGCCCAACACCAAACAACCGTCACTGACCACGCATCAAATGCAGCCCCAGCAGCAGCTCTCGCAGATAGAGAAGTCCGTCACACACCTGCTTGTTGCCACCAAGCAGCTCCTCGGTGCGTCCCCGGCGCACGCAGCCCCGCATACCACACGTGCTAACACGGTGCAGAGACGTTGACACTATGGTCGCGCGGGACCGCCACCGAGAGCGAGGTCTCGGACGTCTACGTGCGTCTGGGATATGAGTTCAACATCGCGTCGCGCGCCTTCAACGCGATTGGCGTCGACACCAACGACCTCGGAAACGTTCCCGAACTACTGCGTGGCATACTAGAGGAGACGCTGAGCCAGGAAGCATCGCAAGCGAGTCTCGACAATTTCCTGCCGCGGATACGAGACATCATCATAAACCTCCTGCACGGTCTGAAGAAGAAGCAACAGCGGTTACGGCAGCGCACAGGAAGAGATGGCTCGCTCAACGGTGGGGGCAGTCCGCGACAGGGCAGCGTTGGGAGTAGTGGTGATGTCGAGGAGCACCAACAACCGCGATCCGCGAGCACAAGACTACCTTCAAGAGGGGACAGCCCGTCGTTTGGCGGCCCCGACCTCCCACCGCGCTCATCATCGGTAGCTGGCGGCCGCGCCTCTCCAAGCAAGTACGATGCCCTCCCTTCGAACCCGAAAGCGAATCGCTCGACCGCCGCAAGCCAGCTATCTACCGACTCGTCCATTTCGAGCGGCAGCGCCCAGCAAATGCCTGTTATTGCTCCGTATCCCGCAGACGATGCCATGCCCAAACCACCTGACCCCCCGCGGCCTAACTACCCCGTCGACTTCCCACCACCACCTCCTCCACCGAAACAGGAAGATGCGCTCGCGGCATTGCAAAGAGGTGGTGAGCTGGAGCGGAGGGCTTCGCGCCGATTTTCAGCATACCAAATCCAGAAGCATCTCGGAACAAATGGCATACCACTTCCACCTGTCCAGAACTCGCCCATACCGAATAGGGGTCGGGATGTACGCGAGTCTATGAACGCAGTGCGGACCAGGCAGTCCATGATGCACAATCGCCAGCGATCAAATCAGAGTCTTACGCAACAGAGACCTGCTGTGGAAACAAAGTTCTCCTTTGACCAGCCCAACGAGAGGCGCATTTCCGAGGAAAGTTCGCAAAGTGCCACGCCGAGCATTCTGCCACCAAGAGAGTCGGGTCCTGAAGACAGTCCCGTCCAGAAGACCCCAGACGATAAACTCGCGCAACCGAAATTCCCAGAAGGCGACCAGTTCTCGCTAGGTGCGACGCTTAATGGTCCATTATCAGAGCCAGCTGAGCTTGGAGCCGCATCACCGGCGAAAGAAGACCCGCCCAGGCCTACAGCCAGCCGTAACAGCTCCTACAGAGTCAAGACGCCCTCTCCACAGCCCTCTCAGTTCATTCCAGAGCAGTCGCCTCAACAAGGGAAAGAGCTCACACTGTTTCTCCAGTACAAAAGCAAGATCAAGAAATACGTCTTCACAGATGGTGCTGAGCTTTCTTCGGCCCGCCTGCAACTCGCTTTTATCGAGAAGTTCGCCTGGGATACCCACCGTTATGGCGACCTGCCCGAAATTCATATTCAGGACCCTGTTTCTGGTGTTCGATACGAGTTGGAGGACATTAACGATATCAAAGACAGGTCTGTACTTGTCCTGAACGTGGAGCAACTCGACGAAGTAAAGAGCCACATCGATGATAAGTTTGGCGGACTCAGCAAACTGGTGGAGAGTATCAAGACAGTGGTCGAGGACCAGCAAGCAACTATACAACGCGTGGCCGAACGTCAACAGCAAACGACAAAGGAGATTGCTGGGATATCAGCGGCACCTCTTTCTTCAGCTCGCAACTCCGCCCTGCTACCCTCTCGTCCTATACCGTTAGGCACACCCTCCGAAGCCAACATTACTTCAGCCACTCAAGTAAGCGAGGTACAATCGCTACGCCGTGATTTGGCTGTCATGCGACAAACATACTCATCTTTTGTATCGGATATACAAGCTAGCATGTCCACCATCCGCACAAAGGCCAGTGCTGTGAAGTCGACCGCTATCAAGGCTGCCTTGCCCGCACTCGATGGAGACAGCGGTCGCGCTTACATTAACACTGGCAAGAAGGCGCTGCAAGACGACTCGGAGAAGATTGTCAACAGGGTAGATGACCTACAAGATCTTGTTGAAGACCTCAGAAAGGACGTTGTTCTGCGCGGCGTGCGACCTCTGCCCCGCCAACTCGAGACTACCGCCAAGGACCTGTCGACAGCCACTGCCGAGCTCAAGAAACTGCAAGATCTCCTCGCTAAGGAGAAGCCTCTCTGGACCAAGATCTGGGAGCAGGAGTTACAGACTGTATGCGAAGAGCGAGACATGCTCACCATGCAGGAGGAACTCGCGGCCGACTTGCAAGATGATCTTGAGAAAGCAGCACAAACACTTGAATTGGTTGAGCAGGCGACCAAACAGCAGAATCTTGAAAGCGAGAAAGAGGCTGGAAAGGGAATGCGCTCAGCTAGTGGCCGCAACATGCTCAATGCAGTCGCTCTCGACAAAGCTGTGGATCCACGCCAGGCTCGCGATGGTGTACTCGGGGAAGTCAAGGCCCTGCAACCGAACCACGAAGGCAGGCTTGAGGCCATCGAACGAGCGGAGAAGGCGCGACAGCGTGATCTTGAGACAAGGAACGATGACGAGTTCAAGCGCGAGCTTGGAAACTTTGTCGAGGAAGGCAAGCTCAAGAAGAGCGGCGGCGTCGAGGAAGCAGAGCGCCTCCGCAAAGCGAAAGATGAGCGCGCACGCAAGGAGAACTTTGAGCGAGAAGCCGCAAGACAAAGAGCGAAAGCAGAAAAACAGCAGAGGGAAGCCGAAGCTGCTGCCGCTGCCGCTGCCGCCGCGGCTGCTGAAACAAACGGCGACGGTGCTGATGGTCAGAACGGAGAAGCGGAAGCTCAAGCGGAGAATGCAGAGGAGGTCAAGGGAGATGAAGGTGGTCCTGCCTAGACGCCTGCCATCTATTCCTAGCCTTCCTGTCTGTGTTTGAGCTGATCCGTGGTCCTAGATCTCCCGAAAAGACACTTTACAGTCCGCCCCTGGGTCAAGACTGGCGGCGTTCCGCTATCGATGCAAATGAAATTTGCCGCAGCTACGGGGCTGGACCTACCAGTAGCGGCAGTGTCATCTACGTCTACGCCCACATCTTCGTCTACTTCTACTTCTACAGAGAGTACAGACCCACTCATCTCAACCATCAGAGTCGTGACTAGCGGAACACAAATCGATGACGCCTCTTCGAAATCGGACACAGACGATATACTCCCGTCTACGCGACCAAGCACTATGCCTAGAATACACCGCGATATACCAACATCTATTACACCAAAATTCTATCCCGGCGACACGGACACACCATCACCGATCCTTCCATCGAGTTTCGGCCCACGACTCGCAGTTTCACGAGGCGGAACTCAAAGAGCTTATCACTCCTATCGTACACCCAAGCCTTCTCACAGTTTCTACGGTCGCGACAAACCCAGCCCGAGCACGCCGCCTGTCCGTTCACGCGGTATGACTTTTCCCCGCGCATCTTCCAGCGTGACCAAGTCCAACTCGCAGGAGACGTTAGATGCCAACCAGCATACGCCCGAGAGTAGCAGCACAGACAGTTTTGAACAAAACGACAGCGATAGAGATAGAGACACAGACAGTGTACTCTCCTTCACCCCCAGTATGGGCGGAAAGAACCTGGCCAACTGGTTTTCTGGACTGTTGGGAAGATAGCAGATAGCGTATGTACATAGAGAGCAATGGGCAAAGTCCCGTATGTTGTGTTCCCTTTCAGGGAGGGATGTATGGTATCTGTACTATGTAATTATTGGTGGTAGCATCGGTAATGGCGTTCGTGTTGGTAATAGGTCATGCATAGCGATCATGGCGTTTGGGGCACGTTGGTATGAGATATGTTGGAATCCTAGGATGATGTTGAGATGTTGACGCGCAGCATCGTGGGATAATGCAAGGGATCACGTATCATCTCAATTGGTATCCACTTTTCCGTACACCCCAGCTACTGTCTCACGTCTCGCCGTCATCTCTCTACCTCGTCATCATGTCGGTGGTGTTAAATCTTTATCGCCGACGTCCTCTTCCCTTCTTCTTCTTCTTCTTCTTCTTTCCCCTTCCACCATCATCAGCAGCCTTCCTTTTCTTTACCTCCTTCGCCTCTTCAATCGCCCTCTTTTCTATCTTCTCCTCTGTCTTCTCCTCCCCGAGCACGTCGCGAAAGCCTTCAAAATCGAGGTCAACAAAGTCCATCAGCATCCTCTGCGCCAGCCTATCCACGACATGCTCCCGCGCTAGGGTTACGAGGAGAGGAATCAGCAGCTTCAACTCCTCCACCGTAACGCCGCGATCCCCCTCATTGGAGCCGCGAACTGGCGCTATGTTCTTGCGGGATGGGAACGAATCGCGGATCATTTCGCCGACAGGTACGTCCAGTCTAGAGACTACTAGTCTCGCTCGCTCGATGGCAGGCTCGAGGACGGTGGTGCAGAATTGTGGTAAGAAGTTCTCTGAAGCCCACTGCTTTGAGTCTTGGACCTGGGTGAGTAGTTGCACCAGCCATGGGAGGTTGTTTACGAAACCGCCAAGGTGTGGCAGAAGAAGGGGAAGAACCTTCTCTCCAAACGTTTCCGATACGAGAATGATTTCTTTGACCTCATCGTCTTTGATCTTACCTTTCCGAATCTCTGCTCCTTCCATCGGAGCACGCAGCAGTTTGAAACAGTACTCGCGGATCGCAGGCTCAGCCGTCGACAGGTGATGTAGCAAGATTCTTCGCATGTATCTCAGATCGTACAGACCGATATTATTGATAGCTAAAGCGCTCGAATCGAGGGCGATGGTGCAGTAGCGTCGGATATCGACGTCTGGGATCTTGCTGTTGAGTTTAGCTACGTCTTCTAGAAAAGTCTCGATATCAGAGATATCTGCGTCCTTCGAGACGGAGCGAAGCGTATCGTCGAGAAATCCATCATCGTTGAGTTCTCGGCCGTGTTTAAGCAGTGGTGAGCAATCTTGGAGGCGCAGGAAAGTACTGTTAGGTACTGTATCGCGGATGATTGAGGCTCGCCAGGTGGCCATGGTGGCTGGTATGTTTGACTGAGCACTCTTACTACAAGTGTTTCAGTACCTCAACTACGGCTTTCTATCGTTCTATCATCACTTACTTGTCTGCGTCTCGAGCTCGGCCGTATGCTACCTGGACGTTGTCACACATCTCCATCTTCTTTTTGATACCATTCTGGGACTTTACGAGCCCATCTGCCCTCTTCAAATGCTCGGTATCTTGTGTCTTGTACAGCAAGCGACCTGTAACATCGATGGTATGATCGGCGTGTACTTTGCGTTCGAAAGCGGCACTAAGCTGTTCGATAGCCTTCTGTCACAGATCCGCCGAGCCATACTCGATACACAAAGCAGTCAGTTGGTCCAGGACCGCACCAGGAATCAAGGGAAACCTTGCACACATGAAGGTTTGTCGCTCTTTGCGGTATTGGCCTGGATCGTGGTATTCGAGTAAGAGCTTGCAGAGCCTCTGTAGTTGCAGAAGACTAGCCGGGCCTGCGTCAGGTCCTCGCACTTTGTCCGTTGCGTCATTGAGCAGTTTGATAATGGGGTCCGCTTCAGCGTTGTCTTTCGAATTCTCGCGTGCTCGTACGATATGTCCGTGGCAATGTATGATCATCGCTGCGTGTGGCTATCCGAGGTGGTGTCGCAGCTTCCAGTCCGCAAATCTGTGTAGGTATGCAACCGCGGCGTGCCACGTCCTCAACCAATACTGAGGTGCTCTTCCTTCTCTTTCATTTGGCGATTGCTACGAAGACGTTCTTCTTTACGATATAAACCCTACTTAGGTAGCTACAACAGATCACGGACCGTGGATTTACCTACCACCCCACCGATCACAAGCTAACTTGAAATCCAGCGCATACCTCTACGGCTCCGTATAGCTGACACGAAACTCGGAAGCAACAAGCTTCGTCGTGATGGCGGCACACAGGAACCCTGGGAGACGTTGGCTCTTAGTACCGTATTCGCCAACCACGTTCCGGCCATACATGTAGGCTTTCCGAAGAACCTCGAAATTCGCCCGGAAAAAATGGAGAAACCCTTCTACATAGCAGCAGCAACATGATGAGTAAGGACGCGCTCGCTCTACCAGCAAAATCGAAGTATGCCGTCGCTACCTAGGTACGTTAGCGGCTACGCCGCATCAATCGGTTCCAGCCCAAATCGCCGTTGATGCCGTCCAATAACTACGCAAGGACACACCTGGATCTATCAACCTGCAGCAATACAATTATGCACATCTTATGCAACACTCTCTGCGACTCGTGTTCGCTGCACAACGGAAGATCGACTCATCACAGCCTTCCCATATCGAATCGCAGCCGTTGTATCTGCCTGGTCCCCCACCTTGAGCCATCCACCGTCACCGCCCTCGCGTCCCATATTTACCCAACCCACCTTTGCGTCTTTCTACGTTTTTCCACGTAACCATCGACCAGGCAACGCCAGAGGGGACGCTAGAGCACTAGCGCCTTTCAAACTTTTCCCACGGGTATATAAACCCATCCTCCTCCGTCCCCCCTTCTGCTCTTTAGCTCTCTTTGCCTTTTGGCTTAGATCAAGTGTAGTATCTGTTCTTTTCAGTTTAATCTCTGAGTACGTTCCTCTCCATCTTCTGCTCGAAGATCCCGTCGCTAACAACCTCGTAGAACGTTCCTACGGGAACTTCAAGATTATTCTTATTTTTGAAACCAGCCGGAGGATCCCTGGGCTTGCTCATATCCTCTGGCACAGTGTCGCCTCTATCGCACTATCTGAGGCTGACGCGAATTACCTTTTTCATTGAGACTTCTGGCTTGCTCCAGTCGCTTGAGGAAGAAGAGTCCCTTGCTGTTATCACGAGACATACGCACAGCAATGAGTACGGAGCTGAGAGCTGGTGCGCTCGTTGGGGATTTTGCGACCTTTTGCGCGCCAGAAGTGGGGCAATGTTAATCAAAACCCTCGGTTACCTCACATGAACAAGCTCGCTGATTTCAATGCACTCGACACAAACCATTGCGCGCAGGTATTCACCACTCTTGAAGTCAAGAGACTCACAAGAAACGAGATGGTATCCTGTTCATGTCGAGTGTTCGTTGTAACTTGCCAAACGCGAGTTTCGACGTAGTCGCCCTCCCAAAGCCTTATGCCCGAGAACACTACAAACCACGTCTATACACCGCGATTTGCTTCATCAATGTCTGACTATTCAATTACTTCCAGTACAGCTAAATGTGTTTTGGTGTCGACAAGTGGGCACTGTATTCCCACTAACATGTACCCCGGTGTCTAGGTATCTACCCATCATCACGTGCGCTGGCTGAGGTTATTGCTGGATAGATATAGACGTTTGCGGTTCCCATTTTAGCTTTCAGAGGTCGCAATGACAAACAGTTCCGCTCTTCTGCAGTGACACGAAGCGTCCGCATTGAGGCCGGAAGATATATTACTGCTGACGCCAAGTAGCAAGGACTTGCCATATCAGACGAGCATCGTAGTACATGTCAGACCCAAGATATATCGTCCCACATTAACGAGGCGTGCATCTGCTGAGAGCGCGAATGCGGCGAGCTTTGTCATTTACCCGTTGAACCAAGGTTGACAAGTGCTACACCCGCCATTAGCATGCAAGAAGTCTCATCGACGACCTAGGAAGCTTTCCACTCCCTGTTGTATTGCTTGTTGTAGATAGCAGCGACGACGTCAAGATGCAACTCTACGCTATGAAAGCAGCAAGTGCATGCGGTCGATGAACTTGGGGTATAAATTCATGGTCGATTGCAACGAAGATTCACCACCATCATCACTTCAACTCCTCACCAAAGTAAACAAGGTCTCCACGCTCAATCACAATCATGCATTCCGTCTCCATCATCGCAGTAGCCTTTGGCCTCTTCGCCTCTCAAGCCACGGCTACCATTGCCCTGGGCAACAACGCAAGTAACAACCGTAAGTCGACGACCTCCTCCACGTTTGATTAAGTCTAATATTAGGCCAGTGATGTGGATCTACGGCGACAACTCGTGCAGTGGGGTGGTCAACCCCAACTGCGGCTCCCCGGTGAAGCTGAGGAACGGTAACAGCTGTACGTACTGCCTCTCTTCCCCCCAAACCCCAAACCACAGACGCGTCCTTGTGCTAATTGCTGTTCTTACGCAGATGTTGTCAGGGGTTGCGGAACTGATACACGCTGGACCGAGAACGCTGATGGCACCTTCAATGCTCAGTGCTCTCGCGTTAGCCCTCCCTTCGCCACTGATTGTGGCGTTCAGCTTACGTGGAAGTGTTGAGTGACAACTAGATGGTTGGCTGGAGGATCTCGCCGATCGACGAGTCCCGAGATTTATGATCGACACTGTCCTTACCTTTCTTATATGCTGAAGTATGTCTGGATTCTGGTGTTAGAGTAGATGATGTCACGCTCGTTTCTGGATAGAGTGTTTGAAAATTTGAAAGCGCTGCGCAGCCTTTGATTTAGTTCGCATCTGCATTGACGTGTTATTACTCATGGCGTAGTACGTGGTCCGGTCGCTTTCCATCTGAAGTCTGTTTGCCCTTCGTTCTCAGAAGCATCTTTATGGCACGTGTGACGATAATAAGACTGAACTCACCAGAGTGAACGGTGAAGAGATGTGCTGAATATATGATAAGACTACTGTTTACGGCTTGAGAAACAGAAGAATCGATGTTGAAATAGTGAAGTGAGTAGACGGCCTCGGTTCGTCCGTAATGCATGGGAGAGATCGCGTATAGGACGCGCGATACATCTGAAAAGTACCGTTTGAGGAGACTAATACGTTAGTCTTCATACATCGTATCGGTGGATGTGGCGAAAGAGACATCAGGCCCCGAAAAGCGCAATGTATAGTTAATTTGGATTCTCACTAGCACTAAGTGTAGTGTTGAGCGGGAACTAAGACCAAGGTCTCTCGCATCTTTAATCCTAAACCCTAAGGCAGTTAACTTTATTTGCAGAATCGGTAACTGAAGCGAAAGAGTAGCGTACATGGATACTCGATTTACCTTGAACTCTCGCAGCCAGCACTAAGCGTCCACCCGTTGCCCAAGTGCATGTTTCCGATGCAGTACGTCATAACGTATGGTGTGCCCATGGATGTGCCTTGACGAATCGATTCGTTCTCCGGATCGAGACAGAGAGTTTAGATTTAAGCGCATTCTAGAACTTTGCAGATTGAATGTGTACTCCGAATTAGCCATTAAGCCGGTGGCAGACCCAAAGACCATTTACAAGAAGCAGTAGAAGTCGTAGTATCGTGGAGACGTCCACCCCTCATATCTACTACACCTTGGCACTTCAATGCCTTGAAGCACCTGAGGCACGAAAAGAAGGACTGGCATTGGTGTTGTGGCTACCGAGCCGCGTGCGTCGGATTTACCTAGGTAGCCGTTGGGATGGCCTGGCAGGGCTGACGTTTCGTTTCAAGCCAGCGATTGTTTCGAATGACGGCACGATCCGCTAACGCAGATTGATGGAGGTTGGATGTGTAAGAAGTTTGATAAGAAGGAAAAGCTTGGTACGAGCCGTTGATGCGGGTGACGGAGTTGTGATCCGAGTAGATGGGCATGATGTGATGTGACAGTGGGGAAGAAGAAATGGTAGAGACTGCATGTTTCATGTGACGTCGCGGGGTGAGAAACAAGTGGCGTTTATTCGGAAATCGGATACAGAAGCCTCAAAGAGATGCGAATGTAATGATGGTGATTGTCTTGATGACGGCGCACAGTAGGAAGCGCTTTCCGTAGATGCTGCGAGTCGGGAAGGTGCAAGTCTAAATCGTCACTTCCTTCTTTGGAACTCGTCTCTAGCGCCTCATCGCTCTTGCATATTCTGCGGTCGGTCATAATTCTCTGCGCGCAATGTTTAAAGAATTTCATGTGCACTTTCAACAGTATTGCTTCATTTACCTCGCACGCCGCGGCACAACACAAGCACCAGCGACATTGCAGACGGGCGGCCAGCCACACGCAACATGGAAACAAACACCAAAAAGGTGACGAAAACAGTTGAGCTATCGACCTCATTTCCGAGAGATCAGTCAACGTTCGTTGAGAGTCGAGAACATGCTCATGTCGCTCGTTACGAGAAGACAAGCTTTTGCAGGGACTAGGCGTGGAACCTCATCAATCTTACGACCCAGTTGCCAGTTCCACGTCTCTCCAGCATCGTGCATATCGCGTGCATCGGCACTGGGATTGCGGCACTGAGGGCCAAAGGGGATGCGTTTGAGGCACCCAGGCAATTGAGGACTTGCGACAGACTGAGACGGTCAAAGTAGTCGCGAATGCTGGATGCGAACGGGGTTGTGGCTGTGTGTTATGCGGAAATGCACTGACAGCGGTGGCATGTCTCAGATGCACATGGTAGGGTGTGGCCTTGCTGGGCGCCTGAAGCAGAGAGAGCAAGGACGCAGGACGTGTGGTACTGTGGCTTCGTTCGGCGGACCGTTGGAGGCGATGCGAGATCAGAAGGGATCGCGATGCCGACTAGAAGCCACGGAAGCTTCAGTGCTTCACCATGGGATAGTCGAAAGCGACGACGACTCAGGCGCGCCGGCGATGAAGTCACTTTGGGGCGCTTTGTGCAGACATGTGAAGCGGCAGGAGCAGGTCGCGCTCGCGCGTCGCACCATGGCCCACGCTTGCACAAAGACGGCCAACACTCCATCGACTGCTCCACCGCTGCCTTATCCACGCCTATCGACAAGCGTCCCCGCAAACACGAAAGCGCCCTCAACACGAGCTGATGTCGACGGTGGCACTTTGTCTCTCCTGTCGCACCGTGTGCTGGCAGTGGAGAATGGGCCGAATCTCACGCATGCCTGCGCGAGTCCATTTTGGTCTCGCCCGGCTGCGTCTTTGCGCTGAATCTCGGCACGGTTGTATGCCTTCACCGACAGCGCGCATCTGCCATGTACCCGCTCCTGTCGATGCTCCTAGCAGGGAGGATCTGCGCCATGGTCACTTTCTATTTTGGCCAAGCGCTTTGAAACGCAATCTATGGGGGTCGTCGGCACGCAAAGAGACGGACTGACGAGAATGTCGAGGGCCATCCCAGCGCACACGCCCAGCGCGACGGGGGGCGAGCAGGCAGAAGATCGTGACCTCTTTCCCAGCGGCTTCACCGCGCTGCGAGTCGACGGCAACGTGAAGTCTCGCCTCTCAGCGACGAGAGCTCGCGACCGGCGCATTTCCCAGCGGCTGCCATGCCTCGAGCTTCCGCGTTGGCTCTTCTGAGTGGCTAGGCTCATGCATCCCCCTGAAGTTGTTCCTGGCTAAGAACGCCGCTGACTGGCCCCTGCCGCCGGTTGTTCCTGAACGAAATTAACACCCGCCAGGGGCCGACCATCTTAGGCGCATCTGTGCTGCCGTTAGCAGCCACCCAGGTGCTTAGGCCCCATCCTGCAACTGTCAGCCAGAGAGTTCATATACCGCCCTCCCTCGCTGTGTTTTTTCTCCTCACCCAAGGCAACTTTTCCTTACCACACTCGCTATCAACTGTCTTCGGACATCACATTCTTTGAACATCCAGTCACTCTTTCCTGGATTATCAACGTTTTCGCCTGGACCTTTTGAATTCACCGTCAAATACCCCTTCAGTTTTAAGAGCCAGGATTTTTTGAACATTCATCATGATGAAGCTTACCGTTGCCTTCTTGGCTGCTCTCGCCGCCGCCGATGCCGCTGAGGCTCGCAGCCACCGCCAGGCCCGTCGCCAATACGGTGCCACCAACTCCTACGGTGGTGGAAACAGCTACGAGAGTGGCAACAACGGCTACGGCAGCGGATACGGCGCCCAGCCCCCGGTTGTCGCCAGCTCTTCCGTCGTCGTCAGCTCCGCTGTTGTCAGCTCTGCTACTCCCGTAGAGACCCCCGAGGCCTCCACCTCAGCAACACCCGTCTCCTCGTCTGTTGCCACCCCGGTCGTCTCCTCGTCCGCTGAGGTCCCATACATCCAGTCCTCTTCCCCTGTCTTCGAGACCTCCAGCACCCCTGCCGATGCTACCTACACTCCTAGCGTCCCCGCTGGCGGTGTCTCCAGCAGCATGGCCAGCTACCCCGTTGGCGGTGGCTACGGAGCTCCCTCCTCCGCTGTCCCTGAGGCTGCCACCTCCAGCTCTGCTGTCGTTCCCACCATGAGCTCTGCTGCTGCTTCCTCCGCCTACGGCACCGGCTACTCTGCCGTTGTCCCCTCCGGTGGTGTCTCCTCCTCGGTCCCCGTTGCCGCCTCTTCATCGGTCCCTGCTGGCGCCAGCTCCAGCTCTGTTCCTGGTGTTAGCATGAGCTCCGCTATCCCCTCCGGCTCTTACCCCGTTGGTGGTGGATACGGTGGCAAGCCATCCTCTGCTGTCCCCGAGGCTGCCACCAGCAGCTCCGTCGTTCCCGGCGTCAGCATGAGCTCTGCTATCCCCTCCGGCTCTTACCCAGTCGGCGGCGGCTACGGAGGTGTCCCCTCCTCAGTCGTTCCTGAGGCTGCCACCAGCAGCATGGCAGGAACTGGCTACCCTCTTTACCCCACTGGCACTGGTGCCGTCCCCAGCGGTGTCTCCTCCACCCCCATCAGCGACATGGTGACCTCCACCATCTACAGCACCCAGATCTTCACCAAGACTGCTTGCCCTCCTACCGTCACTGACTGCCCCGCCCACTCCACCGCGCTCGTCACCAGCGTTATTGCAGTTGGCACCACCGTCTGCCCTGAGTCTGACCTCCCCAAGGCCACTCCCACCTCGGCCATGACCAGCTCCTACCCCGTCTCTGAGGTCGTCCAGACCTACACCGAGACCCTCGTCTACACCGTCGGTGTTGGCTCGACTGCTCACCCAGTCACCACTGAGGTCACCTCCACCTCTACCTCCACCCAGTACTCCACTGTCGTCATCACTGTCGGCAAGCCCACTCCTACTGGCGAGGTTCCCTCTGAGGCTACTGGCCCTGCTGGTGGCGAGGGCTCCTACCCCACTGGCCCCGCCGGTGAGGAGGATGTCACTTCCACCATCAAGTCTACCTCCACCTCCACCAAGTACATCACCGTCAAGCCCACTCCCACTGGTGAGGGTGATGTCCCTGCTGACTCCGAGTCCAACCCCTCTGGACCCGCTGGTGGCAACGGTGCCTACCCCACTGGCCCTGCCGGTGGTGAGGCTAAGCCCTCCACTCCTGCTGGAAGCGAGGGTGGTGAGGACTGCGCTGCTCCCGTCACTGTCACCGTAACTGCCAAGGAGACCGTCACCGTTACCAAGGGTGGTGACTACCCTGCTGCTACCCCCAACGCTCCTGAGCCAACCCCCGAGGTTCCCTCTGAGCAGACTGCCTCCTCCAGCATGCCCGCCGTCCCCACTGCCATGTACCCCGTCCCCGGTAACGGCACCAACCCCTACCCTGCTGGCCCCACTGGCTTCAAGACCTCCACCAAGCCCGCCATGCCCACTGGCACCGGTGCCGTTCCCGCCACCTCTGTCCTCCCCAGCTTCTCTTTCGTCTCTGAGGTCGCCACCCCCACCGGCGAGACTGCTATCCCCTCCTCCACCGTCCCCGCCAGTGCTGAGTCCAGCGCTGCCTACCCCGTTGGTGGCGGCTACGGCGGTGCTTCCAGCTCTGCTGCCGTCTCCACCCAGACTCCTGAGGCTTCCACCGTTGCCTCTTCCTCCGCCGCCCCCACCCCTACCCCTGACAACAGCTACGGCTCTGGCAGCGGTTACGGCTCCGGCTACGGCACCTACTAAGCGCTAAAGTGCATCTCTTGTATATGAGCTTTGCGTTTTCTTAGTGTCGTTTGTTGGTAGGATCGCTTGATCCGCATTCTCGCATGTCTTGTCTGTCTACTTTATCAAGTTCCCTCGGGCAGGGGCAAAGCGTTGGGTGGTTTCCTTTGTGATGGATTGTTCACGTAAAAGGCGGGACTAGACAGTTCATATCATGTACATTCGACAATATATTGACTGTCTTCTTCCACATCACCCTTCGGATTCCCCAGGCTCGTCGGACTCTGGTACATCGACGTGTTCAAGCTGCAATGTTTGATGAGACTCGACTTGTTCTTAGACTTTTCCTTTGTTGCGGTTGTTAAATGACCAGGCGTTATCTAGCTTTCTTGAATTTACTCTTTGCGACTGAATCTTGTCTCCAATCTCAATCGTGATGCTTTTTACTGAGTTTTAGTGATAACGTTTCCCTTGATGCCCACGTCGAACTCTATCGCAAGTCGTGACCAGATCCACAGTGACACAAACCTAATCTGCAAAGCTGATCACTGTACCTGCATACTGTCCCAACCCCATCCCTGTACATCATCGCGCCACCGCTTGCACGTTCTCGCATGATCGGCCACAAGTGTAACGTCTAATAAAGCAAACACAGCCACCGCAGCCGCAGTGCCACGTTCGCGGGTGCAGAACGGCTTCATTCAGCCATCCGCATTCAGCTCCGCTCCCTTTTCGAGCCGCTACAAGTTACCGTCGCACAGGATACATAACTACACACAGCATGCTTTCAGACGCCGACAGCCTTTTCGCAGTGTTACGCATTTTATTGTTGGTGGAGGGAACGTGCGCTGTTGTTGTTGATCACTCCTGGCTCGAGCAGACACTGGTTGGTGTGGATCTATACTACATCTGATATCAATAGACCCCATCTGGGATCGTGTCCTCGCAAGATTGGTACGCGTCATTATACGCTCGTATTGGGCACCGGACGGGATGGTAGCACACAAGCTATAGATGGGGTTGAATAAATTCGCCGAGGCCGTCCGTTATGCTGCTCGTGTTGACGCAGAATAGCAAGGGTTGTGGGGCTGGAAACGACTCGGTTTCCGAGGCGAGCGGATGCAGGTGACATGTTCAGATCATGTGGATCGATTTCTTGATTATGCAAGACGCCCTGTGGAAGGTGGGTATGTTGGGGGAGTTGCGCCCGCGGACGTGGCGATCGCTATTTGTGCTAAATTTCCGATGCGGCCGAGGTGAGTGGATTTGAAGATGGGGAAAGTGAATACGCATGATATTGAACGAAGGAAAGCGAGAAAACATTATATCAAAGGAGCACTTGGTGTAGACATACAACAGATGAAAGACTATTTTGCACGGTGCCGCGTGCCTGTCGCTACTGGGTATCACTGTCCTGAACGCCAAATACACAATTCCTGCCTACGCATGCCTCGACAAGAATGGGCCTAGTAGTCGTCATCGTAATCGTAACCACCCCTCCTCCGTCCACCATGGCCTAAATGCCGTCGGACCCAGTACTGATGATATGTGGAATAATCACGCTCACCACTGAGGCCGAGGTGTCCGGCGACATTGACATAGCCGTCCTCGTTCCTCTCCAAGTTCTTTGTATCGACATCACCCAGCTTGCCCTCGAAGCCTGTGTCTGCCTCCCACTTGGCACGGCAGTATGGACAAGTCGCTTTGCCTTTCGAGGCCGCGATCCAATTCGCCATACAGGCTTTGTGCACGTTGTTTCCACAGCTGGCTTTGCAGTATACGATGGGTTCGTTTTCGCCCAGCTCGTCGTAGCAGATGGGGCATTCACCCTCGATGGGCTTGCGATTGCCGTCTTGGCCTTCTTGTTCCGTGCCGTCCTTCCCGTCTGTCTCAACGCCTGGAATGGGCGGGGCGTTCTTGATGACTTCGCGCAGCTCAGAGCGGATGAGGGCTAATTGGTATGCGATGTCCTCTCGTGCCTTCAGCACGCGCAGCATGACGTATATGATGTGCTTGCATTGATTGCCCTTGTTCGCGTGTGGACAGTCACAGCTTGGGACGAGACCAACTGAGACGGTGTAGACGTTGCCTGTGGAGCCTGCAACAACGACTTTCTCCTCGGGCACATCATCGCTTCCACAGCGTTCACGCGAAAGGACTGTAAGGCGCTGTGTGAATGCTCTTTCTTTAATCGCGAGGTAGCTTTGTGGTGCCTGCTTGCGGAACACTCTCGCACGCTTCTCTTCGGCAGGCGCATCGGCGTCGCGCTTGCCTCTCTTCTTAGCAGGAGTCTTCTTGGGAGAATCTCCCGTCAGGTCGATTACTTCGGGTGCGCTCTTCGTCTTTTTGGCTTTATGCGGTCTGGATTGGCAGCCGAGGGGCGTGTCGTCGTCATCGTCGTCGTCGTCTGCGTACGAGGTAGTATTTCGCTTGCGGGTCGCTCGCGTCCGCGGGCGGCCCAGGTCGGAGTTCATGGCGTGTGTGTGATGCAATTGGCGTCGCAAGGCGAAGAAGAGGGTATTGGTTTGACAGTCTGGTGCGATTGACTTACGTGCGGGGGAAGATGATGGTGAGTAGAGTGGCGGCAGCCCAGGATCGCGCTTGCCCACGCATTCACGTGATGACGTAGCTAACAACTACCTAGGATTCCATTGGAGACTCTTCTTCCCCGCTTCAATCACTGCCATTACACCACTATCTCTTATGGTAATCCTATCGCATGGATAGCGACTCAGATCTCTGTCTAAACAGTACTTGACACGCAGCATTCCTGACATGCAGTCTCTAACTGGAAACCGCGCAGTCGCTGTCGTTGCTCTTCCACCATGGCCTTCTCTTCTCATGTCGCGCGTTTTAGAACGGTTCATATCCGCATCCAGTGTACAAATTGATGGAGATGCGTGCCCGAAACTTGGCATCAAGGGTTCACTACCACACTCCAAGTCTGCAATCAGTGCCTCGGCACTCCACCGCATAGCTGGTGTAATCATTACACTAGTATGTGGCACTGGTCTGATGCTACGTCTTATCTCGAGATACGCGTTTGAATCCATCTAATCCAAGTGCTCCTCTGTCCGTTACTCTCCCTGCATGTCCCTATCTTACGAGTTTCCATGGTACACAGAGATATCTCAACCGCACTTTCGATCATGCTTTGCAATGGCAAACACTCGTCTGACCCACATCAGTTCACGGCCCTAAAACTGATCGAACCCCGCCCGTAGTTGTATGGCCATTAACGAGCTCATTACTGCGCTCATGCTTGCAGTATTCCAGCTTGGTACCGTGTCACGACAACGCCAGCTATGACGATATCCCGGCTTCTGTCATCCTTTGATTCCTTACTCTTGCATCCCTCTCTGTTCTCCGTATTTCATCGATCCACTTTACAACAACACCTGCGCGACTGCAGCGACTGTCTATGCGGCACGAAGTCATGGCTAAGCACACAGCGGAGAAGACGACACCGGAAGGGCCTTTAGATGAGCAACTGATCCAGCCGCAATTGACGCCGTCGGCGGACCTCGAAGGACAAGCTGCGCCAGCTGAAGAACATGATGTCTTTGGCAACGAGGAAGGTGCGGATATACAGTATAAGACGTGCAAGTGGTGGTAAGTACATAAGCTACCTAATGCCGTGTGTAGTGTCACTGAACGAGAGTCAACGGTATTTCGACACTTCTCGACGTACCGCATGTATCATTCGATGGGCGTGACATCCTTTTTTGAAGTATCGCTGACTTTCAATTGCTAGGAATGTCGGCACTCGTAAGCCTCTCGTACCTTCGCACTATCATCTCAATAACGTAGTCAAGTGATGCTCGCAGAGAATGTTTCACTAGGTGTCCTCGCCCTTCCACAAGCTCTCGCGATCCTCGGTCTCGTCCCCGGTCTCCTCTGCATATACTTCCTAGGCATCATCGCTACATACACTGGCTATCTGATCGGCGAATTCAAGCTGGCTCATCCGTCTGTAGCAAACTACGCGGATTGCGGCATGCTCATTGGCGGGCCAGTAGTTCGCGAGGTGCTTGCTGTCGGACAACTACTAGTCCTAATCTTCATCATGGGGGCGCACATCTTGACCTTTGCGGTCGCGACGAATGCGATGACCGACCACGGCACCTGCACCATCGGTTTCACTGTTCTCGGACTGATCATCTCCTTCCTGCTAGGGTTGCCTAGAACGTTCAAGAACATCAGCTACTTTGGCTACTTTTGTAGGCCAAAGGATCCGATCGCTTCGTGTAAACTCGTGACTAACATATCGCAGCTTGCGCTTCCATCATTTTGGCAGTTACGGTAACCATGATCGCGATTAGTATCCAGAAGCCAGACATGGGCAACATCGTTGCTGTGCGGCCCGATGTACCACTCGTCAAAGGACTCGCACCCATTATGAATATCGTCCTAGCTTACAGTATGTTGTTACCCTGTCCTGTTCTCGCAATGAAGTCTATCAATCTCACACAGCTGGACACGTCGCCTTCTTCTCGTTCCAATCCGAACTCGAAGACCCTCGCGACTTTCGCAAAGCTCTCATATTCGAGCAGGGAATTGCAGTCATATTCTACATGCTCATCTCCGTCATCATATACTACTACGCCGGGCCTCTCGTAGCTTCACCTGCTCTTGGTTCGGCATCTCCACTCGTCAGCAAGATTTGTTTTGGCATCGCGCTGCCCATAATCATCGTCGCAGGCGTAGTCAATGGCTCTGTAGCGACCAAATACATCTACTTTCGCGTATGGAAGGGCACAAATGTAGCATCTACTAACAGCTGGAAGAGCTTGGGAAGTTGGGGCGTTATATGTACAGGCGCATGGCTGGTAAGCTGAATCTTGGCTGAAGCAGTGCCGAACTTCAATTTGTTGTTGGGACTGATCGGAGCTCTCTTTGGAAGTTGCTTTAGCTGTAAGTCACTGCAAATACGACTCACTGTGAATAATGGTAGGTGCATTGGCTGACGAGTGTAGATGCGCTTCCTCCACTGATGTGGCTGTGGCACTATAAAAAAGAACGGTAAGCTGTTCTCGTCGACTTCGCAAACAGCTTTTACCATCTTAAATATCTCTATTGACATTCTAGGCATGCTCATTGTGAGTCCACTCCTCAAGACGTTACAAAACGAGTGCTGACTCCGCGCTACAGTTTGGGCTTGGTATGTGGTCGTCTGGATGGGCGTTGAACCGCGGGTCTGGTGGCAAGGTATTCTCTTGCGACGACAACTGGCATCCTGTGGGCTGGGTTTCAGGAGTTACCAACGATGCATAGATGTAGCGCGTGAGTTGGAAGGGTATTCTCGTGCCTGTCTGGGCTCGCTGATGGGCGTTATGGGGTGACCTCGGGAAGGATTAAGATGTAGATTAACTAGAAGCGCACTTGTGCTGTAAAGGTAAGAAAATGCAACGCATTCCATATCAATCATGGGCTTTTCGGGAGACAGTGTTGCTGCAGAACGGTAGCATCGCGGACGGGAAGCTATGACGCGCCGGGACCTGCACAACCGAGCGTTGCGCATCTCACGACTCCTCACTTCACGGGCCAATGACAAGCCTCTCCTACCCCAGTGCGCGTCCGAAATAAGCTGTTCCCGAAGAAAAGACGCAGGCTCAGGTAATCTGGCTAATATCGATGTGGACGGGAATGCCAAGTGAGGAGGCTGGACGACCTGGCCTCGCTCGGGCTCACCACGATGCTTACGCTGCGTCCGTTGACTAGACGACGCACATATTATAGTTCTTACTGAATCTGGCCGAGAGTGTCTTCCCGCGAACTGGTACGATTGTTCATATTGCGAGGTTGTACCACTGTTCCGCTGGTTTCGTACTCCTGCCCTTAGCCAACCGTCCCACCTCGATTTCCACGAGCGTTCAAGCGTCCAACCCCGACCTCTTCGCTGCCCAATTTCCCCCTGATTGAAGTTTATACGTCCCCGCGACACTAACGCGACTGCGATATCATCTCGCGACTCTATTCTCAACATGCCCGTCGAGCTCCGTAAACGCAAGGAAGCGCCCCCAGCGCCTGTGCGCCCAACGAAGAAGAAGGCGCCCGCCAAGGACAAGAAGCCCGAGAGCGAGAAGACTGTCGTCGAGAAAGTCCAGGAAACCGTCACTGAGCAGGTCGAAGCTGTCAAGGAAGCTGTTGTCGGCAAGAGCAACGGCGAGTCTGCTGCCGCTGCGACTGGCCCACCCAAGGTCGGCGACACAATTGACCTCGCGTCCTTTGGCGGAGAATTTGAGACGAATGACGGAGACAAGACAACGCTTGCAAAGCTTGTAGAGGAGAGCAAGGGCGGCGTTGTACTGTTCACGTACCCCAAGGCTTCAACGCCAGGATGTAAGTCGCACCCCTAACATCTCCATCGCATTCGCAGAGCAGTACTAACGCGTGCGATTACAGGCACAAAACAAGCCTGCCTCTTCCGCGACTCCTACGACCCCCTCACCGCAACCGGCTACTCCATCTACGGTCTCTCAGCCGACAGCCCCAAAGCCAACACCACCTTCAAGACCAAGCAGAAGCTCCCCTACACCCTGCTTTGCGACCCTTCACAGAGCCTCATCTCCGCCATCGGCTTCAAGAAGCCGCCAAAGAGCACGACGCGCGGTGTCTTTGTTGTCGACAAGGAGGGCAAGGTGCTCGCGGTGCAGCCCGGTGGCCCGGCGGCTACGGTCGATGTCGTGAAGGAGCTTGTGGATAACAAGGATGGCGTGCCGAGTAAGGGTGATGCGGAGAAGGCTGAGAAGAAGGAGGATCAGGAGATGGCTGAGACGGCTGATGAGGTCGCTGATAGTGCGGCTAAGGTGGATGGTTAGAGGGCTTGATGGAGCGCTTGCACACGCCTGTCTCGGGCGCAGGGCTGTTCCGTGTCACTATCGCGGTGTTCAGGTCTTTAGCAGCTTGGGAAAAGTGTGTGATACTTCATCGAATACATTTCCAGGTTTTGGCATATCTCATCTACTCTGCGATAACTCGCGGTTACCTGCTAATGCAAAATGCCTAGGTCACACACATTCCGAGTGGCAAGTTCTTGAATCGGATTACTTCTATGCCTCTACGTAGGTAAATCCTCACACAACGTATCATCGAAGTTCCACATTTCGAAAAATAATAGACTGAATGCTCAGATATCAAGGTCAACTCGGGCCAGAGTAGACGCAGTAGTACCTAGGCAGTGGTACGTTGGAAAGTGGTCGGGTCTGTGCCGGGGTCTCTCTGGTTGCGTATACACACCAAAGCATTCCATGGCGACTAGCAAGATCATTCAGACCCACGCGATAGCAGACCGAACGAACGCTTTAACAGTTTCATGCATGAGACACTGCCTGCTAATCGTTGCTGGTGACCGGTGGACGACTCGCTTCCGAGGTTGGATGGTAGCACAGCCCCCGGACGCTCGCCAGGAAAACGATGCTCGGCCAGAACGAGCCTGCACATTGATCGATACATCAAGACACAATACACACCAATATTGTGCTCGGGCCTGACAATGGCTGCTCAACCTCTTCAAGACCGCGGCGACGAGTAAAGAGCAACATCAGGAGTACATTTAACGTTCAATGACGTCACTTAGATAAGGCGCCTGACGAGGCAGTTTCCTAGCATAGCACGCACAACGATGTCTGGACCTAAACAGCAGTAGCTTCACTGTCCACTATCGCCGTGGTTTTGGAGCCACCGGCGGTGCAATCTAGTACCATGCTGCGCCACACTTCCACGAATCTGACCGGTGCAACAATCATGCTGCATGCTGGTGAACCCCAGGCTGAGCTCCTACGGCTGAGGACGTGGAGAAAGCGTCTGTACCACGCGTTTACCGTATCCGGTGAGTTCGTCTTGCCCCATATGCGTCGAGTTGGATCACTGCGCAGTCGGACGGGTTGAGCTTCTGACCGCTTGCATAGAACGCAGGTTCCTCGAGGCAAACATCTTCGTTTCAAAGTAAGCGCTGTGTGTCGCTTGGGCCGAGTCTCCAAACGTCAGATCGTTGAGCGGCTTAACCGTTGCTCATTGCATGAATAATACTGGCACGCCATAAACTTCGCATTCGGGAAAGCATTCGGTATGGATGTCGAATTGAGCGTGGTTTACAGTAACTAAATGGTATCTACATGATTTAGACACTTTACTCGTGGAAGACATCCTCGTGATCCCTGGGTTTTCACAACATGCTTTTCCTGTCAGAGCAACGATATATGCGGATAGGATACCCCTTACAGAGTGGCTGCGCCACCAGCGCAAGGTCTAGGTCTGTTATGATCACGTCTGTCCGGTGCTCTCAGCGGATCTTGACCAGTCGAGCGCCCAAGTGTGTGCTGAGCGCTCTCCGGTAACTCAGTCGCCGCCACTCTGATGTGGCACAGCAAGCAGGCAACCTTATCAGGCCTCTGAAATCAGCCCGATCAAACCCAGCACAGCCCTGATGAGCCCTACTACTAGACTAGCCCTTGAATTCCTGTAACAATGCGTGATATATGCGAACATCGCCTTCCGCTTTCCATTTCTTGCATTTTTACCGCTATGGACAACCGAACCTTCACAACCGACTTGGGTCGAACCAGTAAAGCCAAGAAGTGTTTCTCTATGCACAGTGAGCTAAGAAGTCTTGCAGTATAGAATGTTTGACAGTAGCTAACATACTATTGAAGGTGAGCGTAACAAACCATCCAACCCGGCGCGTCCTACCCGGATCTCTAGCCAAACGGATGAAGATCGCGAATTTATTAAGAACAAGAGCAAGTGGTACAAACGTGCATTCGCTGCAGCGTGTCCAAGGTTCAAACGATTTCTCGAATCATATCGGCCGTCCAGCACATCGAGATGCGATGCTCCTTCGCTATCACACAAGCTCCGACGCAGCTTCACACCCGCAAAGAAGAACGAGAACTTCAAAAGGAAGGTGGATGTCTCCTTATGGGACAAAGATCGCCGTCAATGGTCAAAATCCAATCCTGGCGTTGTTCTTGTGGATACGCAAAGCAAGTACAACTTGGTCACTCCTCAATTTCTAGAGGTGTTTGGTCTGTCACCTAGCCCCAGTACGGAACCGATCAGGATAACACTCAGCGATAATACCGAGGTGCCGTGCTTGGGCGAGGTCAAAGCAAGGTGGTGGTGCAGCGATTCTCGAAAAGTCCCCAATTTCCGACCAAAATATGAAATGTCGACCTTTTACGTGGTAGATCTGGAGATATTCGAACTCGTGATTGGGAGTGATACAATCGTAGAGCTGGGGCTCTTACAAGGGAAACGCGATTTCTTCGGTGCTTATCGAACTTTGGTCCCTCCGGGCGACTGTAAGTTTATGATCGTGAACCATGGGCTTTCACTGACGCGGGATAGCTGACACAATTGCTAAAAAACAGCGAGAGGCTGAAGAAAGACGCAAGAAAGAGCAAGAGGAGATGAGGAAGTATGAACAGGCACAAGCAGCCAAGGCACGGAAACACTGACACTGCACCCCAAACATACTACACGCACCCGGATACATCCTGAATACGGCCTTTGAATGCGCTCAGAGATTGTCTTGGTCTCTGATCGCAGTGGACCGAGGGGTAACAAGAAAGGCGACGACTTCTTATGTTGATTCTTGCCTGGATTGTTAATCGGTGTGAACTGACGGGGAGCGGGGCGAGCCTTGACTGAGTCGCTCTAACGGCTAAGTGGCCGGATGATTGATGTGATGAAGTTGGTGGCGCACGTATGTGGGTGGGTACAGCGGATGCCATCTACCGACAATTTTCCTTGCAGCGTATACAGCCGACATAGATTCCACCGAGGCTAAGAGAAGGAGTTATGGGGTAATTGGTCACCAATACTGTTTTCTTTGGACATGTCCATATCTCCATTTAGAAAGAGTCGTTTGTCTTTGCGATTGAATTCAAAATAATCCTCATCCTACCGTGCTCCTATCAGACCCGACAAATACGACCTGTACAGCAGCAAAGCTTGGGTCTCGTCAGCAGGTAGGCATTAAGATAGACGTGGGAATACTCACGCAGCTGTGATAGCAAACATTTCGGCGCGTTTCGCATTGGCCAAACCCATCAAGCAAATAGAAACCAGAACATTGAACCCAGCAATGATTCCCAGTCGTGCAGTCATGGACTGGACGCGGTACAGCACTGCGATGGATGCTATCGGTATGAGAGATGCGAGTATACTGGTGATCCAATAGGTAATGCGATAAATAGTGCTATCCTCGTAGCCGACCACTCCATGGACGCGAGAAGGCTTCATGATACGAGCACAGCCACACCTGAAGAGGTTGGTGATGGTACTCTCCGCAGCCCATGCCGAAAAGGCGTCTTTCTTTGCGCGAGGACATAGAGTCACCAGATCTGGCTTGTAGGACTTGCGATTGTAGGCAGAGCCCCATATCTCCGCGTCGGCTCCATTCAACGCATTTTCGCCCATTTCTGCAGACTGTAGATAGTTTTGGATGTGGTGGAGATCCCAAGTGCTAGGCCGAGGGTACTTGAGAATCTTGGCTTGTTGTGCTAAAGCATCATCTGCCGTAGTCAGCTCTGTGCGTACCCTGGAGGACCGTTAAACACACTATACTCTTTGAGTGTTTCCCTAATTCTCATGACCAGCTCCAGTTGTTCGCCTGTACCAGCATTCTCGGATTCACGCAGCCAGAACCAATTCAGAGCAAATGCTGCCCTCTTTCCCGATGGATCGATATGATCGGCCAGCTGCCGTTCTCGTAGCTTGTTCTCCAAATACGTGAGCTCAGCCTGCATGTACAACAGGTTTTGAGCATTGAGAGCCCCAAACCTGCGGAATACAGCGAGCTCAGGTAGTATCTCCATCTGCGCAGACAGCTTCGGATACCCTATAACAAACCGATTAAGAGGATCTTGTGACGACATTGTTGTCATTTTGTGATTAGATAGCCTTCAAGCGAGGTTCCCCGTATGGATGTCGCACATTGCGCCCATATATCTTAAACCTAGGATTCGAGTCTGCGCAACGAGCCTCCACGTCATCCAACGCACCATGTGCAGTTGATAGACAATGCGTATGAAGAAGGCAGAAGGACCTCTGAGTGAAGCTGCATACATCGGCAATACCAAGCAGCCCTCAGCCTGGGATGCAGGCATAATCGTCGGGCCTACATCTCATTCATCGCGAAGGTATACCCACCCCTACCACCAGTGATAAGCCACTTCTGCAAATGAAACCTGGATTCTTATAGATCGCTGCGAAGTCGATGATCATCGTCGCTCGCATGCGTCGATGTTATCTTTCTTTCAACGACGAAACAGTTGTTATCCGTGAAGGTGAAAGCACAAGCGAAAGTACTTTGGATCTCGCAAAACAACGAATCAAATGGAAGGTCAAGTGAGTAGGCAGCCAAGAGGATGCATCATGGCTACGCTGGTGTATGTGAGATTCCAAGGTTTCGGCGCGTGCTGCGGATTGCTCTAGATGCCCAGGTGTGTGCTAGCGCTAGCGCTAGTGATTGCCTCCCGAGCGCCCGGGCGGGCACCTGCACAGTCGGGCCACGCCCGCATGCCTCGCAGTTCGCCTGCAATCAACTCCACACTACATGAACAATGCGTCTGCGAAACTCATCGTTTCCATCCCGTCTTTTATCACGAGCTCACTAAGGGAGCAACGGAGATGAAAGATATAAACCTTTTGAAGATCAGAATTCGGCTGACGAGGCTGCGCTCGAACAGTGATAGGTAAAGAGCATGCGCTGCTGCGCCCCTCTGACACTGCAGGAACAGGCAATGGTTGCCTTCTTTCAGGCTATGACGCAGAAACATTCGAGATCAATCCGCTCTGGTGATGCAATTAGATGTCAAAAGGATATATGCTGCGCCACTGGCGAAAGTACTGAAGATGCTCATTGGATTTGGCCCGCCCAACAACGCCTCAGAGCTTTCATGTCGCTCGAGCGGTCTTATGCGCAGTCCTTCAGGGTCATACAGAGGTCCCGCCTGCGCAAAGAAGCGTGTGCCTGGGGCTATTGGTCGCTTTATAGGCGAAAGGTCCTCCTCGTGAAGTTCCTGGAGGACTCTTATCATCACACTCGAAAAGCACACTTAGATTCAACTCGCATTAACATCACCATTGCATCGTCGCACGAAACACGAAACACGAAATACTACCCGCTACCCAACTGACTACGAAGAAATGTACGATTGTGGGCTCTCCAGGTTGTTGTCATTTGGTGTGCGTTGCCCTCCACCGTCATCGGCCATTATTAACGAGATCCAGCGAAGACAACGAATCCCTCAGCCGACCCAAATCGAGATCTGCTCTCGAACGAAGGGTAGTTTGGAAACTTGGGAGGTAGCTGTCCTCTCATGCGATCCAAATACAACGGAAAGCATCATTTCACGGCCTATGTTGCAAGTACTGGACGTTCCAGTGCATACAAGCGAAAAAACGGAGTGCGTTCTCGCCAACCATCGAGGCGAAGGGGTGGAAGGATACGTCGATTTGACTTGGTGCTTCGGAAGCAATACCAAACATATACAAGAGACCCGGTTTTGGGTGACGACCACAGAAAATCCCGCATACGATGTAGTGTTGGGACGAAGGGATGCTGAAAAGTTTGGTCTTGTGAAGCCGAGAAGACACTTCTGAGATGTCACATACCCCAAGTGTATATCGCTTCGGCTCGAAGATGACCTTCTTCTTTCTTTCCTATCTTGTCGCTGCATAAATTCTTGTATCGAACGACAGACATGGTTGTCCAAGAAGAGATTCAGATCGCTGACCTACTTTCTCTTGAACCGTAACCACATCGAAACTCATTTCCTAGATAGAACCTGGAATTGATTAGGCTCTCGTACTTTCTTTGGGTTTTATAGTCTTGGTTTTGTTTGCTACTGTCATTACGGTCACGCGGCTGTTTTGTTTTATGTTCCATATTGTAGCAATGACGAGCATCTTTCCCGTATTTGCGCTTTGTTCCACTTCAACATTCCGAACTGCTGAAAATATAACATTCACTGCGAAAAGAAGCGATGAACATAGCAACATGATTTAGATTGTCTTTGCACACGGACTACTGGAGTACACCTATCGTCATAGCTTTTCGCGTATGTAACGAAGGAAAATGGGTAAAAATATACAACATCTGCATGACAAAGAGATGCGCCATGACGATCCCCCAAGCCTTCTTTCCATGGAGGACATACCAGCTGACAACTCAGTCGCATGTGTCGTTTTCCCTTCCACTCAATGTTGTGAGATATTAGGCTCACTTTTGGAAGGAACAACATCGATATCGGCATTCAGAAAGCTCCCAAAGTGGGAGCTCTCACCGGACTGCTTGTAGGAAGGCGGTAGTGTAGGTCTCCTCACGGGTGGGGTCGAATAGTCGGCAATGACATCAAGGTCCTCAAGGCTGGTATTGGCGGCCTCTACCTCGAGGTCATGGGCATCTTAGGAAGTGGTCAGACACATGAATCATAGCTCATTGCATATGGTACGTACGAGGGATGGAGCGGCCCCTTAGCCGCCGAACTAAAACGCAGCCAAGCGAAACATGATGGTGAAGACCAGCCAGGGTAGCAACGGTACTGAAGACACCAAATATACCAAAGCATATCTGCAAGACAAGCTCTGTAGAGCTGTCTGCGTTAGACATAAGGTAGCTTATTGGAGAGGTACAAGTAACGGGAGGGTGAAGTAGGCAAGCAGTAAGGTAAGTGAGGCCAGAAGACAGTAGTAAGTCAAGACACTGCAAGTACCAAAGGTGCCAAAGACTTAATTGGAACAGGTGGAAGTGTATGGCATCATTACAGAACGTCCGTACCCCAGGGCTTTATAGCATTTTCTTCATGGTATGTACCTTTTTCGGCATTATGAAAAGTTGTATCGATGAGGTTCCAAACCTTCAGCGGCGTGTGGTGCATTTATATCTAAGTTTTTGAGTCACAGAGGCCTGTCGCTGTACCTCAAGAACATCGGGCTCGTAGGAGCCGTTCGGGTTAGCGTTTCATGTAGCAAGAGATTAGAATTCCCGCTAACGCCGACAAGGCGTTGAAGGTGTGCCATGAAGTACCCAATGACCACAGACATGCCCACGCTACGACGTCTGAGCTATGGGTCCTGAAGGAACGATTGGATAGTACATGCACCAAGAGCTTTCTCCGGGGAACAAAGTTCGTCAGCAGTGCAAGTGAGGCTCTCACCGGTGCGGAGGACGTTAACATAGCCCGATACTCAGCCCGCACAACATCAGATTTGAGCTCCAATGACGCTTGTAAGTCAAACAAGGCCAATCACAGAAACACTCATCTCAGCCTCAGGCAGAGAGCGTCCAGCGTGCCGAAGTCAGCCTTCTTGTTGCGTTCGGCCTTGGCAATCGATTGGACATGGAGAGGCCAACGCAACATACAGATGCATAATTCCCTCAGATTTCACCATCAGTATCCACAAGAACCGGTGTAAAGAAGAACATACAAGGCGCATGAGTGTAGAAGAGCGAGCTCTATACTCAGCCTGCATAGTCAGGGCGCACTCCGAGGCATACCCGCCACAAGGTCAAGGCAGACATGAAGAGACAGCACGTGTCACAGCCTTGCCATCTACAACCAGAATAACGACGAAATGACAGTGATAGATTGAATATATGGGTATCAAACTCCTAGCTCCCCTCCCTCCCAGGCCGATACGGTATATACGCGTCTCCCACCTCCGGTACAACAGCATTACCATCAATTTCCACCGGCGCAATAGGTTTCCTCGGCACCCTCGCCAATCCCGCAAGTTCCGTTGCTTCTTCTCCATTCCCCGGAGTCAGTCCTGACGTGGAACTTCCATATGCCGGTGCAGTACTAGCGAGTTTCTGACGCTCAGCTTCTGTAGCGTCCATCTCGACGTTCCATTCGGGGGTCTCGTGTGGGTTTTGTGACGAGTTGGCGTAGTGGGCTGCGGTCGTCCCTTTGGGTATGGCGTGGTAGGCGGATGGGGAGTGGTTTGCGTTGTCGTCGATGGGTCTTGTTGGGTCATCGTCTTTCTCGTCTCCCATGTGCTTAGATGCAAATCCTGCTTTCTTGTTCTTCTTCCGACGCCTCCATAGGAGGAACAGTGCTAATGCTCCGAGGATCATGACTAGTGGGATGACGGTGGCAATAGCTGCTATGGCACCTGTCGAGATTCCATTGTTGTCATTAGCACTTCCTCCTCCTTGGCTTCCGCTGCTGTCACTTGCGGATGCACCAGTCGCTGTGCTTGAAGCAGTCGGGTTTACGCTGCCGGCATCACTGGGTTGATACCTCAAGTGCAACGCAGTGATACTCGGCGTCGCGCTCGCTGGCCACGATCCACCAGCGTATGTCCTCGATTCATTTTCTTCCGCGTCCGCTTCTCCACATTCAACAACTGGGAAGTTGCCACTACCTCCTGGTCGACATCCGTCTCTTCCATCTCCCTGAAACCCATCGGGGCAACACTGCAACCCGATTTCTCCATCTACCCATCTGTTGTCACTGCCCTCTCCACTCGCGGTCGTCTGCGTAGCAACGGCCGTCCAAGACTCCGGGCATGCGGTGGCGGGCGAGTAGAATGCGGATGGCGATGGGTAGACATTCGATGTCACCCAGGGCATGCAAGCGGTGTTGATGCTGAAGGGTATCGGATCACCATCCTCTTCGGGGAAGACACATGTCTCACCCCATGCGACAGCGCCGTTGAGATTGCGTAGTGTAGCGCATGCTTGGGGTGGTGCAGTCGCCCATGCCGTGTCCCAAGTGTGTTGTAGACTTCGCGATGTAGACGTCATCACGGAAGAGAGGAGCTTCCAAGCTTACAACAGCCACGGTTGTGTTTCTGGGCACTGCTGCTAGCCCCAAGAATCAAGTAGAGATAGGTAGGATAGTAATGCTGGAGACCAACAACAACAACAACAACGATGCGCAATGGATTTACAGCAATTGCAGAGCTCCGAAGACTCGCCGCTGCATCGAGGGAATTAAGTACGTTATTGTCAAAGCCCATTCATCATCGGAATACACCACCAGGAACACAGCCTTGCCAGACCCACTTGCCGCATCTTGGAATGTTAGAAGCGTGGTGGTGTGGAGAGAATTCGATGATTTCATTCGGTGGCAACGGGCCGGCAGTTCATATCATAGGTTGCTGTTCCTGGGCAATCTTGGCAACTTAGCCTCGTGTAGGCTAGTTTGGTTGATCTCAGTGATTTAGCGATCAATATTTGCTTCGGGCATGTACAGTAGAGTCTATGTCGCTGCCGTTGGTGGAGAGCTGCCGGTTTGGAGTGTGCAAGGGATTTGGCATAGCCACTGTACTCATCATCACGCTGCGCCAGCGGCCTGGTAGTGAGTTTGTGTTCTATTTATGAATCTCCGTTTATGTACAACTAGTAGTAGTATGGGAAAGTTTGTTCCGAACGGATAGTTCGGTATATGGTATACTAAATCAATTCCTTCGTAGGCTGGCAGGACTCACCGACTATGCTTTGTAGCCAGCCTCCGCCAGACCCTCCTTTAGGCTCTCAATCGCCTTGGTGATGTCTGGTCGGTTCGGGTCGGTGACGCTAACACCCATGTGTCCGAATCGAATGTACTTGGTTGCGATCTCCTTGTGCAGACCACCAGCGAAGATGACACCCTTCTTCATGAGGTTGGGCAGAACATCCGGAGGTGTCATACCTTCGGGTAGGTAAATGGCGGTCATACCAGTGGCCTGGTTCTCCGGCTTGGAAGCAAGCTGCTTGAGGCCGAGATCAGCAACAGCCTTCTTGACCTTTTGCGACGCGGTCTTGTGTGCAGCCCAGTAGTCTTCAACGGGTCGGGCGAGGATCTGCTTGAGTGCAGTATCGAGCGCGTGGATAAGCTGTGGGGAGGGTGTAGCGAAGTAGGACGCCTTCTTGGCTTCGTAGTTTTGCATGACTGCGGTTGTGTTAGTTTTATTGATGTGCTTATATTGGGGAATTGAGATACTCACTGGGCAACCAGTTCTTCCATGAGCCGAAGTAGGAAGTTGGTCGTGTCTTCCTCGCCTTGAACCTCTCAATCGCGCGGCCAGATACCATCATAATACTCAGACCAGCTGGGCAGCCAATGCCCTTCTGTGAAGCTGTGATGACAGCATCGAGCTTCCACTCGTCGAAGCGGATCTCTTCGGAGCCAACACTGCAGACACCATCAACTACGACCAATGTCTCGGGACTAACCCTGTGGACAAGCTCGCTCAATGCCTTGATCTCGCTGAGCACACCAGTCGATGTGTCGACGTGGGTGACGGTCAGGATCTTGTACTCCTTCTCCTTTAGTGCCTTCTCCACCTCATCGAGTTGTGGTCGGTCGCCAATGGGTGCTTTGAGCTGTGTAGCCTTGACGCCGTAGGTTTCGAAGCAGTCGGCGAACGAATCGGCAAAGTAGCCAGTGTGTAGGACGAGCACTTCATCGCCAGGCTCAACCAAGTTGGCCGCTACTTGGTCCCATCCGAGTGTGCCAGAGCCGGAGATGACGAAGGGTTGCGCGGCAGGGTCGGTGGACAGGAACAGCTTGCGCAGGTTTCCGAGGACTTCGCTAAAGGTGTTTACAAAGGGTTGGCCGACATGCGATTCGCTGATGAGGTTAGTAGTTGCGAACAGCATGAACAGTAAATGCCATGGAGGTGTCTTACCTGTAATGGCTCATAGACGAAAGTACGGCATCGTCAAACTCAATGGGCCCAGGAATGAGCAGGGCAGGGTGTGGTGCTTGGCTCGACATCTTCTTGGGTGGTTCCGGCGCAAGCTTCTTCACTTGCTCTACTTCCTTCTTGATTTCTTTCTTGGCTTCCTTCTTAAACTCTTCGGCCTTCTTGGGAGGTATGCGATTGCCTTGTTCGTCTTCGATGCGGGCGGTGCGTTCAGTGGAGAAGGGAGTGTTCAATTCGAGAAAGGGCTTGGAGTCTAAATGCTTGGAGATCTGTGTAAGGCGGGAGCCAGCGCGCGCACGAGGTGACGACATGCTTGGGCGGGGTTGAAGGCGGCTGTTCACGGCTAGGAGACGCAACCGCGGGGCTGCAAACATCCGGTGATCGGAGACGCGCGATGGATGAAAGTGGCTTTGATAGACACGAACGGTTGCTGCGTTATGCCAATTGCGACAATGTGCGTACTTGTTCGTGTTTAGGAGACGAGGACGCGTCAGAGAAAAGAAAATTAGTTACTGATAGTAATGAGAGACTGGGAAGAAATTTGGAGATGCGATTGGCAAATAAGGGGTCTATGAATGGCCGCTCATAAATTTACGGAACGAAAAGACACCTCTACACGCACGGATGCGGACCCGGGAGTTGCTGAATCGTGGGGTGCAACGGGTCCGCGATTCGGTCGCGTGGCGGGTGAACAGGCGCTCGTCACGTGCCCGCGAGAAACGGCCGGCGTGGGCACCTTCTCGGTAGGGATGTTTGTTATGATCGGGCCCACTCTCGTGCAGCATCAACACTTGAGCGTCAACACGATACCACTTCGCTATCAATGCATCCTAGCAGCGCATAGACAGCTCGATACAATTATACGACACAATCTATCTGACGCCTTAAATATGTCGATGCGTGTCACACGCGCCCGCGCCCAACAGGGCAACGATGATGCGACCGACGCGACCGAGCGTGCACCCTTAAATCAAATTTCCTCAAATGCGTCGCCCAAGCAGACCCGCTACGATGACGAGGAATCAGTCCCGAAAACACCCGCAAAGACTCCCGCAAAGACTCCAGGAAGAAAGGCAAAAGGCAAAGGCCGTGCGAAAAAGGGAAAGAAGGGCAAAGCGGCTGAGGAGGAGGAAGAGGAGCAGACCGGAGCCGCACCTGAAGAGGAGCAAGCCGCAAGTGAAGCGCACACGAACGAACCAACTGGCGACGATGTTTCTAAAGACACTTCCGATGGTGAGTTCGCAGCCGCTCCAGACCAACAACCGTGGACTAATGGCGAACAGGAGCCTCAGAAGCCCCCGCAATCACCGAGCGACCCGTGACTCCAGCGCCGCGATTGACACGCCGACAACTGGCTATGCAGGAGGAGGAAGCGAAACAAGCGAAGTTCAGCGCCCAATCACAAGAGCCAGAACCAGCGCCAGTTGCAGAGGAGGTGCCTTCGACCGCGGGAACGACTGTGGAAGCACATGCGCCTGAGGAGACTTCGTCTGAAGATGCAACAACAGGCGCAGAAGAAGCGCAGGTTGAGAGCCCCCCACAGCAGGTTGAAGCGCCAGCTACAATGGAACCTGTGGAGGAAGCGCAAAATGAGTCCATGCTGGAGGTGGAGGAAGCGCCTCGAGAGATTACCGAGACTGTAGAGACAAAACATACCACATCAGTGCCACGGATCGACGAGCCCAATGGCGAGGAGCAACCCGTCAAGGCAACAGCGACTGAGGATTCGTCTGAGAATCAAGAGCCTGAAGCTGACACTGAAGTCCCCGCACCCTCAGTCGAAATGAGCTCTGAACCGGAGCCAAAGTCACTTGTAGCCGAGATGTCCAGCGAAGATGCTGTAACACCACTCAGGAGCCATACTTCCAGCCGACGGGCGTCGCGCAGTCCCTCGAAATCACCGATGCGTCTGGAAGAGTCGTTTGAGGCCATTGATGCGCTAGAGGAGGCACTGGAGAATGTGACCTCAGTCACCAGCTTCAACCATTCGAATGAAGTGATGTCACCTCACAAGGCAGAGTTCCCAAAAGCAGCTGCCACACAGACGATGCGATCGAAGACACTCGGGAAAGGGCCAGTGCCTGCGCCTGCTGCCAAGCTATCGAGGACACCGAGTGTTGCTGCTCCTAAGAGCATGAAGCCAGTGAAGTCTTCGATGGCTCGCGCATCCAGTGTCCGCACAGCGCCTAACAAAGATGGTAGAGTAGATTCCACTGATACAGTAGATTACCTTGCCTCAAAACGCCGGCCGATCAGTGTATCGTTCCCCACACCTGCACCACCACCCAAGGGCCGCGCACCCACAAAGGCCACCTTCCAGCTTTCAAGTAACGATGTGGTAGCCAAATTGAAGGCCCAAAAGGAGGAGCGACAGAAGAGAGAGACAGAGGGCGTGGTTCGCAAACCACGACCTATTAGCATGCCTCCTCCACCGAAATCCGATAAGCCCTTGACGAAACCTGCGTTCCAACTCCCTGGCGAAAGAATCGCTGAGAAGCTCAAGGCACAAAAAGAGGAGCGTCTGAAGAGGGAAGCCGAAGCACCTCCACAACCGGCACCTAAGCAGCGTCCTGTCAGCATCAGCATGGCATCTAAGCAGCGTCCTGTTAGCATCAACATGGCTCCCCATGCAAAGTCGACGAAAGCACTGACGAAGGCGACTTTCGAGCTCCCTGGTTCGGCCGTCGCTGAGAAGTTAAGGATTAAGAAGGAAGAGCGTCTGAAGCGAATGGAAGAAGCGGAAGCAGCAAAGAAAGAGGCTGCGCTCAAGGCACGACAAGCACCAGTGCGCAAGCCAGTGACCGTCCCTATCAGACAACAACCATGTGTTACCATTGCGCCACCTCAACCACAACAAGCACCACAGCCACAGCCACAGCAACAAGCTCAACGTGCACCTTCGCTGGCTAGCAAGCGCAGCAGCATGTCTCTGTCGCAACCTCTGTCTCAATCCCGCTCTACATCGACTTCCTCGGCAAATCGCAACAGTGTTATCGTTCCCAAGGCTGTCGTCACGCCCGTCGACGCCGCGCAACAGAAAGTCAAAGGCAGGGAAGTTTTCAACCGCGACCGCATGGAGAAAGAAGCCCGTGAGCGAGAGAGGCGAGAGAAGGAAGAAGCTGCTAAGCGAGCCCGAGCGGAAGCTGCTGAGAGAGGTCGTATCGCGAGCAGAGAGTGGGCCGAGAGGCAAAGGAAGAAGTTGATGGGTGTTTGAATGTTTTGCGACGTGTGTTTCTGATCCAACTTCTTATTCAGAGATTATGGTTGGTGTCTTGGATATGAAGGGTGTTGGTATACTCTCCAGGTCTCTTCTTACTTCTTGCTAGGGTGGGTTCATCTTTTCTTTGGCGCTATCAACTGTCATTACCTCGTCTTCCGATGGTCGACTGGAGGGTTTTCTTTGGAGTTGAAAGCACGGCGATTGCATCTCGTCTTTTCCTTGGCCAGATGGAGATCAGGGTTGGATTCAGATCAGACCCGACGTGTTTCGTTTTCAGGGCTGCACCAATGCTCTGCTCTTATATCATTCAACAACTTACAATTTCGAGCGACCAATCTTCGAGTTTTAGCTTCAAACGTTCAACATGTGTTTTGTGTCCTCCAATCTGCCAATCTAAGGTTCCTGGTTCCAAGGTCTGGCCCTCAAACTTTGACATCTCTGACTTACCCCTGACAACAGCATTCGAGAAGTCTCAGCTGGCCATGAAAACTCTTTACAGAGTCTAATGCCGTTGTGTGTTTTTCAGCGCTTGCCTCGGCACATGTACTTGCACGTCTTGCTCTTTGGATCTCCAATTAGCGCCACAGAGTCGGGCCTTACCATCCCACGCGGCTTTAGCAGCAAAATTACTTCCAAGGTTCTTGTGATTTGACTTTAGTGAGGCAGCATCATCGTTGAGCGGCAATGCATACTCATCCAAGACACTATCCTCAAGCGTCCGGTTGCCACCACGGCCGCTGCCCGACGGTCTGGTATTGGGCGGAGTCCCCTGCCGCTCGTTTGTGCACATGGCAGGAAGTCCGTCCCATAACGTCACTGTGTTGAGATGCTCGGAAATTGGGCATCTTTTGTACTATGCGAATGCATCATGCAGAAGTCACGATTCGTCGCGGGTACAAGTGCCGTGGAATCGACTGACTCGGCACGCTCCTGATCTGGCTCGACATCCCGCGCAGACTGATTGGCATATGATAGACAGGCGAATGTGCGATAGGCATTGACTTGTGCGACATTGTGATGGTGCCGCGCGATCCCTTCGATCTTGCGTCCACGTGGGTCGCAGCGGCACCTTCAGCCGCATCGTTGCGTCCGGCGTGTCAAGGAAGTGAGGGAGAACAACCAGAGACGTTGAGACCCAGTCTACGCCTTAACTTTTGGGAATGCAACCTCATGTGTGTGTGTCAAACAAAAGCTTCTAGCTCGCGGGTACTCGCCAAATGTCCAGATACCACAAGGGGTACCTTGAAGTATCGAGATCTGATCGTGTCGGCGCGTACCGAGCAACCCCGCAGGTGATGGAGCTACGTGCCGCCAGATCTTGTCTGTACGAGTCAAGCGCGAGGTCCGCGGCGTGCGGTTCGCGGCCATTTGGGAATTTTCGTGACGCTATCGTGCGCTTCATACCAGCCCAATGCCGAGTCAGTTGTCTTCTTGCCCGAGGCTTTGCCCACGGCCAGGAACTGCTGGCAAAGGATAATGGCCCGAATGACTGAAACTGAATCCCCAATCTGGCACGATCCGAAAGGACGTGTGATGGATCTGTGTTCCTGAACGGCACATGCGCCGATCAGAGATAGCTCGATAAGCGAGAATGCATGATAGGTTGGATTTGATTCCCGCCAGATCTTGACAATATTGATGACGCTTGACACTGACAGATTGCACGCGCATTCCCGCCTGCCTGCCTTTTGGGGCGACATGTGCGTGCTTGCATTTCGTTGCGAGTCAATTCTGAAATTGTCATGGTCTCAGGGTGTGGATGATGGAATGTCAGCGGTCGGTCCCTTGCATCGCGCGATTAGGGTCCAGATGCTATGTAGAAGGAGATCACTCCTGCGTCTGTGACTTGAAGGTCTCCCGCTGTTCAGCCAAACATTAGGCTCTCACCAGGTTATTGATGATCAGCGTGCTACAACAACAGTCTGGATCGGTTTCCAATTCTGGCGCGGAGCTTGCGCAATAGCGAGATGTATTCAATAGCTTCCAAGCGAAGTCTCATGGCAAGCGAGAGACGATTTTGAGTGCGTCGTCACACTTTTCCGTGATGATCCTCGGAGATCGCGGGCAATCTGCACATAGGCGAGGAGAACCAGTCATTGATGTTTGGTGAAGCCATTTTGCTTTTGGTCACACTCTGGTAGCGAAGCTAGGCTCAGGAGTCTCGAGGAGGCTCAACAAAGCATTGTGCAACTCCGAAGGTATGTCGGGGAGTTGTTCGTTGTCTCCGAGCCTTCTCAACCCGTGGTTTTTGGCTGGATGCCTGAAGATCCGGACCTAACCTTACCGTAGCGGCTGCACCCTTAGCTGCCATCGCAACCGGAAGGGGAACCCAGTATGATGTATGGGTGCAAAACAGCGACCAATACGGTCCTTTGGACGAGCATGAGGTATTTGGGAATGTTTGACGCGGCCCGTGGCGGTTGTCAATTCTGTGAAGTCGTCGGATCTCGGAACAGCTCACCATGCCCTAAGTGTAAGCGAGGTGAGCTGTGAGTGGTGTAAGTTTGAGATGGCTGCGTTCATGTCGTTCGAGCCGTGTTGGTCGCATGTCGCACACGCAGCGATGACCTAACGATCGGAGTAGCAGGATGCCGTCGTCTCGCCATGGCCTGGACGGACATCGAAGGGCAAAGTTGCACAAAGTGTTGACAACTAATCTTGGGGCTCGCTTGCGAAGTGGAGCCGGATGAGCTGGCATGGCGGAAGAGGACCGTGAGAGCGTCAAGGCGCTGCCTGAGCAGTTGGAAAAATTCTTCGATGAGGCGGCAGTCGGGCTCTGCCGTGACAAATGCGCACCTGCACCAGGACGACAGACGACATGACGAAACAGGCAACGCGAGCATGGCTGGCCACGTTGCGCCATCGTGACTTCCCCTCACCTTTGCAAATGCCGCATGACGAACCGTGGGACAAGTTGCTTTTTGCTGCGCGCAGCTCGCATAACGACTGGCGGGATGAGCCCTGTCACCGGTAGGTACCCATGGCAAGCTACGGCCCGTTCACACAGAAATGCGGAGAAGCCAAGCAGAAGCATGCCCACCTGCAGCACGAGTCGCCAATGGCATGCCCCGGACACGGCCGTGGGCATGCAGGTTGGTGTTTGAAGTCGTGGAGGGCCCTCTGCCCATACCCAAGGCAAGGGCGCTGCGACCAAGTGGGTGCTTCCTGCCTGGTGGAACCCGTGGACCTCTCAACAGCGTCCATGTGTGTCTGCTCGGTGTTTATCGCCACCAGCGATCACTTGCTGCGAACACTGTTGAGTGTGGCTGGCTCTGGATCATGCCTGAAGTCTGTGAAAATTCTTCCTGGCGAGCGTCGCACAGCCAAAGGCATACCGGTGGAAAGGCCAGCCGTGCCTCATGCTCCCACTCTGACCACGTACTGCGCAACATGCAAACTCTAAAGCGCCACGGGAATATATAGAGACGACGCACTGGGCCCGGCCGTGTCTCATCTGTGCACGTCTGAAGAGGCTTGTGCTTATCTCGAGCCAAACACTGTGCCAAAGGGTGCCCGTCACGTGTTGGTGAGGGGTTGGCGCGATCTGCGCCCATAGTGAGACATGATGGGGTTGGACAGGTGGTTGCGCGAGGCTGTCATCTGAGTATCACCGAGAGCAAGTGGAGCAGAGGCAAAAAGTTTGTGTCTTGTCGCCATGAGTCTATGCCCATGGCCGTTGCGTCCATTTGAGACAGCTACTACTACGCTATAGCTAGAGCGAAAACAGGCGTGACATTCAACGCCGGCCGAGTGAGAGGAATTCCCAGCCGTCCTGACCACAGTGGCCGTGATGCAATCGCATGTGCAGAGTGACCCCAGTCACCCACCCACGCCGGGGCAAGATGCTCGTAACAAAGACCCCAATACACCGAGGGGATATATAAATACTTTTAATCGTACACCGCGTCCACGTATGTCAACAAAGGAAAGGATACAAAACTAGAAGGCAGAGCAGCGGTGGTGGATATGCAGGTGTACTCCGTGGACCCATGCCAGTCTCGACCCCCAAGGTCCGAGACTGATGCAAAATACAAGAGAACAGAGAGAAACCGAAACGAAGACAAGACGTCTTGGTCGGGTGTCGTAATTGTCGTGAAACCAAACTCCAAAAGCAACGGACTTGCGAGCAAGTCTAGTACTGCGTGTACCGCCTCTTGACGTCGCGTGTTTGGTCAAAGGATCGCATGTAGCTGTTGAGTTGGGTTGCCGCTTGTTGCGAGATGCCGGACTGGGACTGGGAAGATGACGAGGCTAGAGATGATCGTGACGACGAGGGCGTCAGGCTGCGCTGTGGGGAGGGCCTGGTTGCGGTTGGTGGTGCGAAGTAGCTGCCATTTGCGGTTGGGTAGTAGTGGTACGGGCTCGATGGTGGCACTTGTGAACTCGAGGCTCCCTTGTATGCGGAGAAGTTGATTGCAGGGGCGAGGTAGAAGCCGTTGTTGGACGAGGACGAGGACGAAGCGGAAGATGACAGTTGCGAGGGTGCTTGTGCTGTGCTGCCGGCCCGCTCCATGTCGACTAGGCGGCACGATTGGGAGCAGTAGACGCCGTTTTCGGCGATTTGGCGGTCGCAGGACAGGCAGAAGTCGTTGAAGCACTCCATCTGGGAAGCCATTGCGAGTGTGTGTTGGTGAAGTAGTGGTGGTGGTGGTGAAGATGGTATAGCCGCCAACGAGATGATGTCGGTGGAGATGATGTCGGTGGAGATGATGTCGGTGGAGATGATGTCGGTGGAGATGATGTCGGTGGAGATGATGTCGGTGGAGATGATGTCGGTGGAGATGATATCGGGGTTGAGTGTTGGTATGGGTGAGTGGAATTAAAGTAGTCTCAAGTGGGAGTCATGAGGTGGTTAAGAGTTCGTGAGCGGCAGGACCGTGTGGAGCAGCGGGAGGATGAGCCCCATATACTTAAGTCGCGCTCAGGCACTTCACGGCTGACCACCGACCACCCTAGCAGGCTTGGGTGGCAGGGTCCACGGGAGACGCACCCCTGTCGCCTCTCCACAATACCAATATTTGTTCGAAGCGCTGTAAGCCCGCACCCCTCAGTACCAGCACCTGCACCACGCACCCATGCGCCAGCCTAGCGCCCTCCGGCGAACAGGTCCAGTGCGATCCCTCTCCACCTGCACGCTGCGTCTTGGCCACCAAGGTGCTGTGCTGCCAGCATGCTCGCCCGCTGCCCTCGCTATTCGCTCTCCCGGCCTGCCTGCAGCGAACGACGACCCTTACGGCGCTGCTCGATGCTGCAGCCAGCGCAGCGTAGGATTTTCGGCCGCGGGGGCAGTCGTAGCCGGCTTGCGTAGTGATAGTCGCTCCATCTGGTGACACCACCCACCACCCTCCGCCCGAGTTGCGTGATAGCAGCGCGACGCCAAAACGTCGCTCCATGACGGAATCCCCTCGCTAGTCATCTGCCCGGCCCTGCGCCGGACGCGCAGATGACTGACGTGCGAATCTAGGTACGAGGCTTCCTCTTCCAGCGATATGGCGGCGGACCAGTTATCGGTTTCAGCAGTCATGAGCTCCCTCCCTGTCCCTCTCCCAATCCCATGCTGCCATCCACTCCAATAGCCGAATCGCTTGCCCCAGCGTTAGGCCCGCTTTTCGCTATCTTCGGTGATAACAGACGCCTCCGCAGAGCCATTATTCGCACGCGCTAGCTTTCTGTCTCACGCTCAGCCCTGCACCCAAGTCAAATTCTGCCTCTTACGCCAGCCGCCTTCCGTAAGCCGTCCATCTGGCACACCGAGTGCTGAGGAACCATATTGATCCTCGTGGCGACGGACAGAAACGCACACCATCTCGTCCTGACTATGCTGCTAGTCCAGACCAAGTGTCTTGTTTTGCACGCGCATGCCTAATCACAAACAACCTTGATCCAAGACGTTATCTTTGGCTTGCAAACCACTCTCTTCCACATACGGGAGTACGGCTACGGGTCGCAGCGGCGATCTTCAACACTATGCACGACACACCACCCCCAGAACTGCCGCCTGCTGAGCCCTTTCACAATTCCTCAACACAACTCCTCTTCAATTTCCGCGCGGCTCTATGCCTATTCCGATGTCCACACACGCGCCTGGAAGGCCCTTGACGCTTCGCTTCTTGCTGAGCGCCTCAAGCCTCTTTTCCCTAAAAAGTCAGGAGCAGACCGACCTGGACTCTTGGTCATGGCTTGCTGCCCCCATCGGGCGCCGGCGAGGGCGAAGTAAGTATCCAACGGTAGCAGGAACGCATGTTCGCTTGTTCGTCTAACTGCCCATGGCTTGCGCAATCTGTGCAGTGTGCAGAGCAGTACTCTTCCAGCTTCTCCAGCTCGACCACCCTGCCACACCAAGCGAGATAAGACGCTCGGTGCAGGCCACCGCAATCCTACCAAAGCATACGTCCTGCAAGTGGCTGCAGCCTTCACAGTGTCCATGTCCAGTCGGACGAATGACGAAGCCGCCCTCAGCTGCAAGTCACTTGGCCGACGTGCTCCAACACGAGCAACCTGCATGACCTGCCACAGAGACAGCCCCCACGCTGCTTTTTCCAAGGTTCCTGTACGACATGGCCCTAACCAAGCCACCAAGGGAACTCTCTGATACTTACAGGCTTTCTGCAGGAACGGTTTGGTCTTATCGCAAGATCCTCGCGGTTAACGAGGTCCCTTGAAATTCAACTTCTCTAGTGTGCCTCCTTTACCATGACGCGCGATTCATGATACTGCAATCAATCACGGGTGCAATTACAGCAGCGCGACCAATGCGGTACCCAAAAACAGATGTGGCCCGTGAAAGATGCCCCTCCCCACAATAACCGCACGTACTTTGTGATTGCGAAAGATGGCGACATTGCCAGAGAGCGGGCCATGCGCTGCATCGCAGTGCCCTCGAAACGGCTGTTAGCCTCAACAAACAATACAGCGTTGCACATAATCCTCAACAAGTATGCATCGATGATGCACTCGCAAGGTATAGGCAGCTTTGATCAACGATATAGCACAACGTGATGCATCGAAGGCATCCAGACTTCATATATGCTAGAGTATAGCACCACTCGATTCCCCATTGACTATGCTGTGCATCGTTTACGCGCCCCAGCTGCAAGATGATGCAGGCCGCGGCTTGTCCAATATTCGTGTGTCTCATGTACCTGTTCCCCATCATTGCCAACATCTGCAACACTATGGGGACCTTCGGGATGCAGAATCCCAGACCACTCGAAGGACCTTGCGAGACGCGACCTGCACCATCTAGCAGGCAACATCTCTCGAGCAGCAGGCGAATACACGTTATGTAACTCGAAGACAGGCGCCATTAATCTATCGTGAACGCGGCACGGAGCACCAACCGACTCTAGATTCGATAATGAGCAGCCTCGCCTCGTTGCTCGCTTGAACCTGGTGGTTATCTCCCGAGTTTGGCACTCTCCCGAGACATCGGCCCGTTTTGTTGGCGGGTCGACCGCGACTGGGCTTTTCCCAACGATGTGTGTTTCCCGGCGGTTGCCCGTCGCTGGTACTGGAAGGGCCTCCCTTTGCGGGAGGAGTCGGAGTGGCGCCGTCAAACCTACCAAAGTTTCCATGTGTCTGGTGATGCACGACGCCGCACTCGGCAAGGGACTCGTGATTTCCAAACTGTAGTCTAACTCTAAGGTAGACGCTGGCTCCTGTCTATAAACCAAAATACAGCAAAAATCTTAGGGCTTAATTCATCTAAGTACAAGCTAGAATAAACGAGCTTCGTCCAGGTTTGGGTCGGACCGCCAGGTTTCCGTGCTCTCAAATCAACCGGAACCGAGCTAGCGGCATGACTCGAGCCTCGTCGTTTATGCCGTTAACATTCAGCCACGAATGACTCTTGCATGTGTTGCGCCTCCTGGGGAAGACTCCAGGCTTCTCTTTGGCCTGTCGACGTTGGCGATATCGTCGAGCCTCATGTTTGTAGCCATGGTACTGCAAACGCAATGCGCGTGGAGCGCTCCATTAGCCTCGCTTACTATGCGCTTGCTAGTAGCTTGCCAAAACTGTTTCATCACCTCATTTAGACTAATACTGCGAAATCTTCACCAGAAGACGACTACAGTACAACATTCATCACGCAATCGCTCCCAAAAATCACCCGATATCCGTCATGGCCTACTCCGCCGAGCTTCGCCTCGCTTTGCAAGCCGTACACCGGGCCTCATTGCTCACCAAATCCGTTCTCCGGAGCCTATCCAACAACGTGTCTGCGGAGACAAAGGCAGATGACAGTCCCGTGACCATTGCGGATTTCGCCGCTCAAGCTCTCCTGATATCCGCCTTGCGTGCCGTGTATCCAACAGACGCATTCCTGGGCGAGGAAAGCGCTGATGCATTGCGTCAGAACGAGACACTTGCTGATCGTGTCTGGCAGCTCGTGCAACAGGCGAAGGACGAGACTCACGCAGGTGGCTCCGAGAACGAGAAGGGGGACGGAAACTCTGTCCAGAAGGAGGAGCTGGCTTTCCCGAAAAGTAAGGAAGAGATGTTCGAGCTCATTGATAGGGGTGGTAAAGGGGAAATCACCAGAAGAGGCCGAACATGGGTTATGGACCCCGTGGATGGTACAGCGACGTTTATGCAGGGCCAGCAGTACGCAGTTTGTCTGTGTTTGCTAGTTGATGGCGTACAGCAAGTCGGTGTCATTGCGTGTCCCAACCTCGCTTTCCCCATCCAAGGGGAACTGGGCCAAACAGCGATCCACGAGGACCAAGTCGACAAAGATGGCTTTGGCGTCATACTCTCCGCCGTCAAGGGACAAGGGACCTTTATCCGCTCTATGAACAGTTCCTTATCCGCTGGATTCGGAGAACCCCGCCACGTAGACCGGACTACGCTTCCCCAAAAGAAACCTTCAGAACTAAACTTTGTCGAAGCAACGCTAGGCAAGACATCTCTCTCCCAACCCGAACACAACGCCGTTGCTACCACGCTCGGTGCTCAATGGCCAGGCACCATCCTCTGGTCTCAGCAGATGAAATACGTTGCTCTTACACTGGGAGCTGCGGATGCCATGGTGCGCATCCCTAAGACTAAAGACCGCTTTACTTACATCTGGGATCATGCTGGTGGCCACCTCCTTTTCCAGGAAGCGGGCGGCGTTATCAGCGACTTCAAAGGTGAACAGATTGATTTCGCAAATGGAAGGAAGATCACGGGAGAGAGGAACTGGGGTATGATTGCTTGTATGCCTGGGTTGTTTGAGGAGGTGGGTAGGGCTGTTATGGAGGTCTTGAAGAAGAGGGATAGTTGAGGTGGTGTTTTTGTCTGAAGACACTGGTTTTCGATGAGTTGTACGCAGAACTACAATACAACATTATGGTTGAATCAAACTCGATATACAATGGAAGCTGAGCGAATGCCTTTGGAGTCTGTTTCGGTGCGGTAGTATACTGCTTCTTGACAGTATACTACTTCTTGACGGTATACCTGAGGCTACCTATATCTGGGACTCGTAATCGAAAAAAAAAACATCAGGTCACAAGCTAGTGTGTATCCTCAGGATACGCGTGTCAGGGCATACCACTCTCCGAAAACATACTGTGCAAAGTCACGCAGTCAGACAGGAACACACCACAAACTATGCTACAATGTAACGTCTCAGTGTTTCATGTACCAGCTCCACTGTACCGATCGCGTGGGGTTTCGGGTACCGTCATGCCATATCCGCACCACACCAGCACGATCACATCGGCTGGCCCATTGAACCGGCATGTCATTCGGGACGAACACGACCGTCCAGCCTCAAGACTCAGGCTCGGGTGTGTCAGACTCTAGAGCTTGAAAGCGCCGTGTAATGCTACACAAAAGATCCCAAGTAGCCTCACCGGATAGAGTGACATGCCACGGGAATACAGAAATGTGGGGTAAGGCACAAAGGCAGAAAAAAGCGGAGTAGCAGCGGCAACGACGACATGATGACATGAGTCTCAGCTGAGCAGAATCGGGGGTTCGGGTGCTCAATCATCTGCTGCATGCCCCTCAGGGGTTGTACAGCACAGTATAGGGAACACGGAATATGCCTGAAAGTCATCATGCATGATTGCGGGTCTTTTTTATCGTTATGGGATCTGCGCAGACTAAGATGGAGTGTCTAGCCGTAACGGACAACATGTACATGATGGGGTTTATTACACGACATCCTTGGTATATAGGCGGTACTACAGCGGAATGAAGTCCGACGCCAACTGGCTCGGCTGGATTGCTAGAGGGGGTCCATGTTCATTGCGATATGTTGTGTACTGCTTCTATTTCTTGAAGTGAACGCATGCACGCGCATGCTAGGTGTTTGCACAACCGCTCTGTTCATGCGTCCATCCGTTCTTGAGCCGTCGACAGCCGCGGTTCGTAATACCCTTGGTCTATGATGCGCCGCCGCCGTTTTTCCGGAACGACACCTTCTCCACTGCGACATTTTCGTTGCCTTCGGCGTCTTTGCGTAGTTGGTAAACGTAGAGTACGAGGACGTCGCCTTGGACCTAGGTTCATGTTAGCTTGGTACCCTCATCGCCCTTCTGCTGCTTGCTGTTCCTTGTGTAACACCTGGGTAAACTCACATCCATCAACACAAAACTCGGCGTGGGATCCTCGTCCTCTGTCCACCACCCCGTGCTCATGGCGCCTGTCGCACTCCCGGGATTCACAAAGAACTTGCCCTCCATCTCATACGCCTCGAACTTGTGTGTGCCGCCCCATAGCAAGACATCGACGTCCATCTGCCGCGCCGCTATCAGCAGACTGTCGCCATCGCCGGGTGGTATGATGGTGTGGCCATGTGTGAAGCCTATGCGCAGACTACCATGTGTGACGACTTTCGATAAGGCGAGATTAGGCGCTTCCACGTCGAAGTCGCCTTTTACAATCTGTAGGTCGGGTGCAATGGCGCGCAGGAACTCGTAGGTTTCGCGGTCGGTTATGTTGCCTAGGCAGAGAATTTGGCCGATCTTTCCGGGTGCGAGGAGTTTCTTGAACTATATCGTTGTGTAAGCGTATGCGCGTGTAGGTCTACGAGAGACGGGGTGCGGTTGTAGTGGGTGATGGCGGATGATGAACGTGATAGATTTGGGGGTAAAGCGTACCTTCGCCGGTATATCCTATGCAGCCTGTAAGTTTGTGAGGTCTAGCATCGTGAAGATTCGTTGTGGTGACATACTGAAGCTCGGTCTGGTATGAAGAGGTCGCCTAAGACCAGCACCAGTCGCGAAGCCATTGTAGTGGCGCAGTTGTGTCGTTATGCGCGCAAACTACGTTGAGGGATAGCTCGGAGTTGTACGAAGCAAGAGAAGGTGGCTTCGCAAGTAAGACGGAAGTGTAGCAGAGGCTTGCCGGGATGTTGCGCGCAGCTGGAGGTGGAAGTTGGGGAGCTATGCTGTCACTGGGCGGGCCCCAGTGGCAGAACCCCGAGCTTGGCAGGGACGCCTGGACTGGAGATAGCGACGCTTCTTTATCAATCGTACCTTCAAACTACTACTCTACACAACTTATTATCGCATAAGTAGCGGACACATATTTTGTGTCCAATGCCTTGTGTAGTACCGCGGTCTCCAGAAGTGAACTTCAGATCGTGTCACCATGTTTGGAGAGCATCTTAACCTGCACTGTTGAGTCTGCATCTCTCAGTCTGCTAAGCCTGTGGCAGAACATTACCTATGGATTGAAACAGCGCCTCCTTAGCCGCCTCGTGTATTTCGTTGGCCTTGTTGATCCTGGTTGAATAAGCATGCTAGAAGCAGCTTCATTCTTCCTCCACCATTCACGGTATACCTTCAGACAGAGGCTTCTATAGCTGCCTTGTATGTGTGCATCATTCCGGACACAGCATCTTACTACCTGCAAGTCTTTCCTTTTGCTTCATGGATTCATGTATGTTTGTGCAATTTTCGCCTCACTTATTCGTGGTGTTTTCATTGAAGGGCGTTCTGAGCTCTGGGATCCATTCGTTTACCCACGGCTCTCGCATCATCGTCGCTTCAGCTGTCCCGTCCGCTTCACTTAAGCTTGAATCGAACCCACATTGTTCTTAAACCCTCTCTCTCTCTCTTGCTTCACACTCATCACCTTCTTGAGGATCTACTAAAATTGCCGAAGCCTAATACGTTTATTGTGTGTTGAATTGCTAGAGTAGAGAAGGCGTTAGTATCATGACGTCTGTTAAGAATATCAAGAATTGCAAAGCTGGACATGTTTTGCATTGGATATATATCCTCTTGCACTATGTTCTGTACAATGGTCGAACACAGACAGTTCTGTACATACTCTGTGTTCTGAGTGTTCTACAGACCAAGCTCCGAGACATTCTGCATGCCTCAGGAACGCTCATCGCTAGGCTTGCGTCATCAAGCGCCCCGGATAATGCGTGAGGCGGTCTTTACCCAAGTAACGATCTTATTCTGGCATTGGTCAACATCGCGCCACATGCCGGGTACTTCCAACCAGACACCAGCATCTCTCGAATCGAACGACCTTGGCCTTCGTCTGATCGAGGTATCATTTATTTTATCTGGTTCGGAGTTGAGGCTTTCATGTGGTCAGATAAGTTGACCGCTTCACCACTTCGCATCTGTATAAAGCTACTGCTGTCACCTTGTGTATAGATCACGATACCGACACCTTTGATCGCCTCGAGCAGCGATTGAGGGGTGAACATCCTCACTTTACCTACTTGACCGACTCTCTATCATCCATATCCACGGCATGTCCGAATCTACTCAAACCGCCCTTATAGCCATCTTTGGTATCGCCGCTATCATCGCGACGATCGCTGGTTTCCATGTCCGAGATTCTGTCTGTTTCTCTGCTTGTAGAGGTGTTATTTTGGCGTGCTCACGAAGCAGTACGTTGACAAGAGGTGTGTCTATAGCTTTGGGACGCGACTGAATCTTATAGGCCCCGAAGTTGACATTGAAGCCCAAGCCGAATCAATGTCGAGTGGGATTATTCGGGATGACGCTGTCTTCGAATTGCAACCGATGCTGTCTTTACCACTCTACTATGAATCTCCAACGGACGAGGTACGTACAATGGCGGGGCTCGACAACTAGACGAAAAAGTGCAAAGAGGGGACGGAGTTGCAACATACGGCAAGAGTACGATCATGAAATGCATTTATACAAGGAGTCAATGAGCATCCACTGACATGTCGCGTTGGCTGGGTCTCATTTGTAAAGCGGAAACAACCGTGATGAACGACGATGTCTGTATGGTACGAAAGGCGCATCTAATCGCGTTGCCGAGTAATGAGCCTCACGTCATGAGAGCGTGGCTAGTAATGGTACATGGATATCTGTACAGAGTCGTCAATGTACTCGTAGACTTTTGGGTTCGCTCTGACCTATTCTTCGGATGATAAACACATCTCATCACGCGACAGACAAATCAGTCTCAAATGGCTATGGACCTTTTTGCCTCCTCTACATCACCATAACAACCGAGGAGGTGCGCGACATACTCTCCTGCGAGACCCAGACTGATCGCTCCGCCAGTAAACCATGCACCATTCACGAACCACCACCAGCAGTTCTTGACTTCCTTCAGCTTCACTCGTCGGATCATTGTTCCTAGGGTGGCTGCTGCTCCCCCGACTGAGCCGACGAAGTAGACCGGTCCTAAGCCTGCTGCGACTCCGGTAGCGGATAATAGACCGAGCTGAACAACGGCCAGACCCGACAACACCATCTTGGTTTCTTTCTCATGCTTGAGGGCAATGCTCTTGATGCCAGCTTTGACATCATCTTTGATATCCATGTGTGCATAGATCATGTCGTACAGAACAGTCCATGCCACGTTACTAGCGTATAGACAAGCTGCCGCTGTGAGCGCTGCTTGATTCGCTAGCAGGTCGACACCCAACGCAGGGAAGCCCATCATCGCACCCCAAGAGAACGTAAGACCGAGGACGAATTGAGGATAGTATGTTACCCGTTTCGCCAAAGGATAGAGCGTAACGAGAACAAGTGACGGTGTTGCGTACCAGAAGCATTCGAATGGGAGTGATAGAAGAACGGCCAAACCAGTCGTAAGCTGTCCTCCGAGGAAGACAATAGCCTGCTGGGGTGTGATTGCTCGTCTAGCTATGGGACGTAATCGCGTGCGTTCGACATGGGGATCCAGGTTGCGGTCCCAAAGATCGTTAATTGTGCATCCGGCGCCTCTCATTACGAGAGCTCCTGTGAAAAAGAGGGCTGTTGTGCTGATGACTGCGGACGGTGCAGCGAGAGGGGTGGCCATAGTTGCAGCTAGAAGTGTGCTGAACATGCAAGGAAAGAAGAGGTAGTATGTACCGGCCGGCTTGTCCAATCTCATCAGCTCGCCGTAAGGAACAGCTTTCTGAGGCAGATATGACAGGAAGCCGGTGGTTGGTGGCTTGTAATCGGGAAGTGGTTTCGACGGTCCATCTTGTAATGCTGTCGCTGCCGCTACTCCCGACTGCAAGTTTGTCGAGTTTTTTCGTATTGACTTGATGAGCTGGGTGGTTTGCGGTCGATAGCTCGCAAGTGACAGAGGTGTTGACAGTTGCCCTCGTCTGCAAGCAGATTGGAATGTGGAATGATCCCGAGTGTATTGCCGACACACCGGCGCAGCCCGCGCTGCATAAAGTCGTAGTAAGGTCATACTCGGCTTTCAGTCGTTCAGGCGGTTAGATGTGTTTGCAATTTCACATGTAATGGCATGCGTGCCACTTTTCTCCTGTTTGCTGTACTGATATGCAGGGTCTCAATTCCAACTGACTATGCTGAACATGCCGAAAACAAGCTGAGTGGCTCGAGACTCAATTGGGAAAGACACTTTGGTCACTGCCGTCCAGCGCCGAATCGGGACGGTGAGTGAGTGGGGAACGTGCAAGTTGAACCATAGGTTCGCGCTAATTCCCGATGGCACGTGACGGGTCAGAACGCCGTTTCCTCGGTCGCGTCCACATCCCGAAAGCTCACCTCGCCGTCGCCAAATCAATTACAACTCACACTTTCTGCAGCACTTGCTCCGCCAGCGAATGCGACCACGCGCCCAAGCTTACCTGCCGCGCTCTCGTCTATCTGCGACTGTGATGACGCCGCGGAGGTGCCGCCTACTCCTGCAACCCCACACTACGAACGCGACTTCTCGATGGTAGTCATAGGCGACGACGATGCCGGCCGCGCGCCCCCGGGCCTCTTTTGAGCCCATACCGCCCGACTTCGATGTGCGCACCTTTGTGGAGAACGCGGACAATTTCCAATATGTCGACCGCATTTCCTACGAGATGATCGCCAACAATGGCATCGAAGCCTTTGAGAAGCTGGTGATACTGCATGTGATAATAGGCGGTAAGCCTCTTGTAATCGACGGCTTCGAAGAGGTTCTGGATCCTTGGACCTTTACAGCCTCGTGGCTGCGCGACAACCATGGCGATAAAGGTGAGCGCAATCTAGGACAATACTCGGCGCGCATAGCTAACAGGCAGACAGTCGAGAATGCGCGCAACCTCTTGGCCAAAGAGAACCTTCCCCTTACCATGAGTCATTACCTCAAGCATATGACGAAGCTGACCGAGCAATTCTTCAACGGCCCCGACGACGCGTACCGTGATAAGGCGAGGCAGCGCATCTACCTCAAGGATATCGACTGTCCTCAAGTATGGCATAATAAATTGAAGGAGCACATTCCCTCGGTTCTGTTCTACCTCAATGAGAGCACAGGTGAGCCTGGCGGTCCCGGCGCATTGGACGAGCTCGGTGGTCGCAAAGGACGAGGAATCGGACGCGCTGGAGATCTCATGAGCAGCCTGCCACCTGAGATGCGCGCGGAAAACCTCATGTGCTATATCGGTCACGAAGGCACCTATACCCCGTCCCATCGAGAGATGTGCGCTTCACTTGGTCAGAACATCATGGTCAACGCATCAGGCAATATCAGCGAAGACGGCAAACAGGAGCGTCCTGGATCATCCATATGGTTCATGACAGAGAGCAAGGACCGTCATGTTGTCTCGGAATACTGGCTTTCGGTATTAGGCCACGACATAGAAGTGGAGAACCATTTCGCGCAGCTCATCGCCTGGAAAAAGGCCCCATTCCAGACTTATGTCGTAGAGCAGCGGGCGGGCGACTTTATACTCATCCCACCACTGGCTCCTCACCAAGTCTGGAATCGTGGCACGCGGACCATGAAGATTGCTTGGAACCGGACGACTGTCGAAACGCTGGAACTCGCGTTGAACGAGGCATTGCCCAACTCACGAGTCGTCTGCAGAGACGAGCAATACAAGAACAAGGCGATCGTCTACTACACCCTGCTGAAATACTCCAGCCTCATCAAGTCCGCGCGTGCTCAAGTAGAAGCGGGAGGCGAACAAGCTGTCGCGATTCAAACGTCAGTTAAAGTTAAGCAAGTTCAAAAAGATTTCAAGAAGCTCTTCGATCTGTATAAGATTATTCTGCTGTCAGAGACGTTTGCACAGGACTCACGAGAACACCCAGAGTTTCTTCCCTACGACAGCAACGTAACTTGTGCTTATTGCAGATGCAATATCTTCAATCGCTTCCTTAGCTGCAAGACTTGCAAGAACCTGTTCAGTACGGAGATCGAAGAACCATACGACGTTTGCATGGACTGCTACTGCATGGGACGAAGCTGTGGTTGTCAATCAGGGTACACATGGGTCGAACAGTGGAAGTGGAAGGACCTCATTCACAAGTACGAAGAGTGGCGCGCTCAGATTATCGACATTGATGGCTTCGTTCACAAGAAGACTCCGCTTTCACTTCAAGAAGAGCGACGATATCTTGGCAAGAAGACTTTGGCCTCAGTCTGTCAAGAGCAACTTCGAGTCCGACCCTTTGTCGATATCAAAACCCCACAACCTGAGAGCGTGTCCGATGAAGAGGAGCCTGTCGTTGATGAATACGGCAACGTCAAGAAGGTTGCGAACAAAAGGTCGAAGCAGAGGCTTTCAAAGCAGAAGTCGTGCCATTTCTGTCTTCATCGCCACCCGAAATGGAAGATGGCATTCTGCACCAGCTGTGACCTGTCCTATTGTTACGGTACCCTGTTTCGAGCACACGATATGATGCCGGTAAACGTCATGGAGGCTTTCGACTGGAAGTGTCCACACTGCAGACGAGTCTGCAACACTGGCGCTTGTCGACGTGACCCCCGACAACATCCATACGAACCCAAAGGAACCTTGCTCGGCCACGACACCAAGAAAGTGGCTGATGTACGCTCAGTAGAGTGTCTCGTCGACTTTAGTGTATCTAATCTGAACTGGTTGCGGGAGGAGGAGGGCATGGGTCAGAGTGCAATGCAACGCCGAATGCAGCAGGCGGAGATGGACAAAATGGCGGATCCTTCTCTTGATGCGCGATTTATTGAAGAGGATGATCACGGCTACACCCGATACGGTATTGCTTACTCTCCCGTCGAGGACGCCAACGGCGTCGTTCACGATAACGATGACGGAGGTGCGAATGGTGCTCCATACTACCACGATCCCGACATGGATGGGGAGATTCCGCGTCTGGGTCAGAAGCGTGGTCGCGAAGAAGACGAGGAGGTACAGGGTAACCGGCGGAAAAAGGCCAAAGCAAAGAAGCAGAAGAAAAAGAACGACGATGAAGCACAACCCTTGCAACCGAAGAATGCATCTGGCAAGCAATATCAGAAAGAGGTACAGAGGAAGCTACTCGAGGACGCCAAACGCGAGGACAGGTTCATCATGGTTGCCGCAAAGATGAAGGGTAAATCCAAGGTGGTAAAGTTATCTCTAGCCACGGGCCATCTTGACCGGATCCGCCAAAGACCCGTTCCCGAGCACGCATCAGCCCTGCGACAACGAACTCCTGAGGAAGTCGAAGCTTCTGGCGACATGCGGTCCATTCTGCAGTCTGATGTCGTGCCGAAGCCAAACGCTCTCAAGACCGTGGCTGAGAAAGAGAAGGATGCGAAGACATATCGGATTCGAGTGGAAGAGGATGAGGCATACTCAACGCGCAAGCGCAATCCGGAAATCAGCGGCGCTGCGAAACCAGGCAGGCCTCGTGGCTCCAGACGTTTTGAAGAGATCATGCTCGATTCAGATGAGGAGTTTGGTGGCGCGGAAGAAGAGCCCGAATATACTGGTCGCCCGCGTGGACGCGCATCGAACTGGTTGGCGCGAAGGAATGAAGGTGAAGAAGACCTGCCCACCGAGCTGCCGTCCGACTTTAGGGATGGAGCTGTAAGGCCCAACCGGGAGAAAGACCGAGAGCGAAGCCGCGTGTACAATGAGCGCCGAAAATCTATGCCAGCAAAACCAAAAGCTGGAATCAGACCTACTGAACCACCGTCCGAAGATCTGGAACCCAACAACGCAGTTGATGTCTCTGGGCATGTCTCTGACCAGGATGGTCTTCAAGAAGAGGATGATCAGTCCAGTGAAGCTTTCATTCTCGCACAACAAGCCGCTGCCGCTGCCCTGGAAGCCCAGCGTCGGGAGGAGGAGGAGGCAAAGGCTCGTGCAGAAGCTGAAGCTAGAGAAGCCGAGGAGAATCTGCGCGCGAAGATGGCGCTGTTCCCCGATTCGGACGATGACCAGCTCATGGATACATTCCTTGATGACCTGCCCGCTGATGAGGAGCCATTCGAAGATGACACACGATCCGAGGACAACACACTGGGCCCTGCCCGCACAGGGCCACCGCCAACCACAAACTCCATGTTGAGTGGGTTGAATGGGAAGAAGATCAAGATTGTTGCGGCATCCAAGCGGAACAGTAACGGACCAGGCAAGGTCACTACTACGATGACTGTTACTGCACCAGCGTCCAAGTTTTCCGCTGTCAATAGGAAGCCCCAGGCTATCAATGTATCGGATTCGGAGAGTGATGATGAGGTTCCTGCGAGCGCACCAGCTCCGAAGAGACCTGTTGGCAGACCACCCGGTCGGCCTTCGATGGTACCCAACCGAGGCTCAAGTTCCGGGAAGCGCGGTCCTGGACGTCCAAGGAAGACTATGTGAAACGTCGATTAGCCAGGCGTTTGGAGCTTGAATTTACATAGCGGTGTTTGTTGTTTGCTCATATACCATTGTTTCTTAGCAAGGCGTAGTGGATATTCCTGTGGCATCTCCTCGGAAATGCTGAGGCGGGCGTCCCGGTGCATTATTGTCCACGGTCATAGATGAGGCGTCGAATCCGATAAGGTTGCAACGCGTTTAGTAGTTGCAGTGCATAACACGACACGGTAGAATCCTTCAGAGCGAGTGCATAAATTACACTGGTCATACAAAAGAGTCATCTTCGGCGGGAAGGGTTTAAGGGCGACTCAGCCAATATCATGTGCACGTGATCTCGCTCCAAGATTATGGTCGCGTCTTCCCACTTTCATTCCAGTTCCACCCTGCCTCGCAATCGCCATCCTACCAACAACACCCACAATGCCGCCACTACACATCAAAACTATGACTCTGGGTGCGTTCAAGGATGTCTTGTCGCGTTACCCTGCAATGGTCCCCGAGAAGCTACGCGACTTGGACGCGCAACGCTATGACATCATTCGCAAAGCCATAGCTGCACAAGAAGAGAGCGAGAAACACTTAACGAAAGATCAAGTTGTGAAGCTTGTGGAATGGAAGCTGTATGTGGTACCCTTTGAACCGATATCACGTATGCAGTTTCTTGAACTAATGGCGAGACAGGAAGCACGGCACGTTTCGTCCAGCCTTACTGGGCCTGGTTCAAAGCAACACACCAGAGGCAGTTGAGAAAACAACCAAAAAGGCCTACGCCGCGCTCTGGAACAGCAAATCATCCCAACCCGATGCCATTCCCGCGCTCAAGATCCTCGTGGGGTTGAAGGGCGTAGGTCCAGCAACCGCATCCTTGCTTCTCTCTGTTCTCCGACCTGCAGAGATACCGTTCTTCTCCGATGAACTGTTTAGGTGGTCTGTTTGGGACGATGAAACGGGCAGCGGAAAAGATGGAAAGGGCTGGCAAAGGAAGATCAAGTATAACGTCAAGGAGTATGAGATGATGCTCGATCGCGTGCACAAGTTAAGGCAGAGGTTGCGAAGAGGTTTCGGGCAGAGGGACACTTTAGCGATGGCAATTGACGTTGAGAGAGTAGCTTGGGTACTTGGAAAGGAGGGTGTGGACGTTGGTGTGCAGGGAGATGAGACAGGGGACCATGAGGGAGAAGACGCCGATGTCCAAGCTGACAAGAAGACGGAGAAGGAGGAAGAAGAAGAAGCAAAGCAAGAAGAGATCCCACCAGTAACGAAAGATAGCAGTGGTGATGAAGCAACGATTAAATCGCCTGTGGCGAAGAAGGGTACGAAACGTAAAGCGTCGGAAGCCAAACCACCTGCTGAAGGTACTCGCAAGAGTACGCGGACGAAGAAGTAGGCCGACATCAGCATATCTCGCCCACCCCCCAATCTAGCGTAACTCAAGATGTAGTATTCAGGCATCATGACAACGTAGCCCTGATAATTCGACACAGATCACGCGTCTCGACGCTCGCCTGTCACTATATCCGTATTACCATAATCCCGTTATCGTTATTCCCTCTCACCAACTCATCACACCGATGCCGCTTATCATCGGTGCTCATCACTTTTCCCTTTCTAACCGTCGCTAAGACATGAATATGCATACCTAACCCTATGTATCAGTTTCATCACAACATCTCACACCGTTAAACGCAATCCTCATCCAGCTTTCTAGCTTGTTCTCTCGCCTCCGAAGCTCGTTCCTGTTCACAATAACCGAGACAGCCCTTCTGATCGGTGTGACGCCCATGTGTCATGCATGGAGGGATCAGCAAAACGGGGACACGATGGAACATAACAAGCGACTTGGTGTTTCGTATCTACGGAAGTTTTTCCCGACGAATCAAGCCCCTAACTGGCTTTCTTGGGATGAGGTAAGATCTAAGAAGGAGTCCTTGCTAAGTCTACATCTAGCAATACCTCGTATACCGGAGATGAATATGGCGGGGTCTGGGGATTGCGTTACGTGAGATGCGAGATATGTGATGAGAAAGGTCATGGCCAGTCTATGTCATGCATGAAGAGGATGATCGCCACGCGAGAAATTGCGGGGAAAGAAAAGGGCCTCGAACCGAACGGGCAATGATGTGCAGTGGAAGGGAGGAATGTGATGGGATGTGATGAGTTTAGGCGGGCGACATAAGGTTGTCTTAGTAGAAAGTCGGAGTTCGGAGCGTGCCGAAGAAGTCATGTCACTGGCTGACTTTATGGAGCAAGTTTGCCGCGAGGATCTAACGTCGTTGACTGAGATGAAACGCTCTTGGAGTGCGGCAAAGCGCGCGTGTGGAGAAATGCTGATGACGGCAACTTGCCTGGCACTCTCGCGCTGATAGTTGGGACCAGGATGTCGCTCATGGAGCGGCTATGAGAAATCACTGTCGCTTCCAGGTAAAATCAAACGGACGGAATATGCACAAGGCACCATTGGCAAACATGGCATGGGTGAACAAGAGTTCGCCAAGTAGAGCTGGTAGTTTTCAGCACATATGCACGTAGCATCAGCTAACACCTCATATCTGTATTGATCTGTACGCATCACTCCATGCGGAAGGGCAGTCTTCTTCCGTGCACCTGTTTCCTGCTTCGTTATCCGCAGTACTTCCGCATTCACACACTCCGCAGCTCTTTCTTGCACCCCATCCAATATCCCTCTAAATTACACATTACTGCACCGGTCTCCAGATACAGAAGCATACCCGCCCCCAACCCCATCACCTTGTCCGCTCCCTGCCATCCAACGCAGAACCTCGGATCCGGCAACCGAAGCGAACGGGAAACAAGGGAGTCAACTCCGAACCCAGTGCGCTGGTATAGTTAGAAGGATGGAGATTGTGTATAGTGCTTGAGCCTCGCTAGATCGGCTGGGATGTGAATCCTGCCTTGATAGTGATGAACTGCACCTCGAGTTGCTTGCTCAGCATTAATTTCTGTCAATGCGCTGTACGCCGTATACGCTGGTGTGTAGACGATAGGGAACGCTACTTGTCACCAACCTGCCAGTAGCTTGGTATGTGCTAAGCCCCGCGATACGTTTTTCGCGCGCAACTTTTAGCGATGGTGCACATCACCTCACCTCGCTTGCAGTCTCTCTCCAGGTCAACAAAACGAGCTAGTTGCGGTCCTGCACATCAATATAGTCTTGACTTGACTGGGCCTATTTTACCCCGACCTCCGCGTTAGCGACAATGAAAGCCATTTCTAGCTTACTGTACTTTCCCATGTTTCCCTTCTCATGCAATCGCATCTGGCTGCCAAACATATGCATGTGCGCCTTTTTGCTCGAACCTGCCTTGGCTAGCCTCATCGCCTATCGGTGAGACGTCTGCGGATCGCTCCTTCCAGCAGACTTGCTATCTACTTGCGATGAGATGACTTGCATACAGTTGTACGTTGTCAGAAGAAAAAGGAAAAAAACTGTTTGGGGTTTATGCAGGTAAGAAGGAATCCCCGATCTGTACACCTGCATGCATGCAGGTTCGCGATCGGCGATCTGTGGTCAACATGTTAATGTCGGTAATGTTGGTGGGGAAATTTGATGAGTTCAGGGAATTTCAGGGTTCGCAACGTCAGGAACTCCGGGTAAGGCGGCTGTTGAAAACAAGAGACGGTGACATATTATTACTACATGTATTACTACCACCCGGGAGTCGGTAGAATACCGATCGGTTGGGAATCTTGTTGGGAGATTAGTACATGCAGGTGTGTCGCAACAGGAGCGATGTCGGAAATTGACTTTTTTCTTTTACTATGGGGTGCCGAGTTGCTAGGGAGGGAACCGCAGATACGGTCGCGGTTGTGGTTTGTCAAGGGTGGAGATGTTGATGCATGTCCAACCGAGGTGTGTGGAGAATAGCATCATCACTAAATACGGTGAAGATCCTCATGTCGGTCAAGTTCAACAAGATCAGGCATTATGCCTGTTGATGCATTATACTACACGGCTTGACAAACAGCCAACATGCTATCAAAGACACTTCAAAGAAGCGAAGAGTAGTAACTAGCTTAGGACACAGTAATCCATCCCCTTCAGCCTGCCATGTGAAGAACAGCTTCCTGATTCCAACGTAGGCGCGCCGCCGCCTTCCAAGGAAAGCCAAAGGCCCAGTGTTGAGCGCATCGCTTACAGAGGTTATGTTCTCATCGATCATCAACAATTCATCCTTCATCCTCAACCAAAAGGAGGCCCAGGCCAGACGAGAGAAAAAGTGGAAATAGATACAGAATGGTAATAGTAGATATTGAGAAGAGAAAGGAGACTACGCCGTCTTTTAATAACGCTCGCCGATGCATGCAACTTAGATCCAAGCTATGTGAGAACGCCCTGCGCCTGCCCTTGGTGGTAGTGGTAAAGTCATGCTGTTGCTTTGTAATTCGTACATGTACACACGCGTGAAACGGAAATCCAATGTATGTGTATTCGTACAGTGGGTAGATCTTGGGTATCGTGTAGTTGATGACGGAGATGACAGTAAAGTTGTCAGTGTACGGTATGTGGGTGTTGTTATTGCGACTCAGCTGTACGGTTGTGCGCTGCCTCCAGCTCGGGCGGAGGAATCTTCTTGACTGTTCCGTTGCTTCCACTCCGAGTGGATCGCCGGAAGTGAATGCTGGCACGAGCAAGTTCGCCATTGGAAACGGAGTTGCTTCGTTGCGATGATGATGCGATGGACTTCTTTTTACTAAAGTTCATGACCATTCCGTCGTCACTCTCTGAATCGTCATCGCTATCGATGGCATGGTCGCCATCGTAGCCAGCAGCGTCATCGATAGAGGCATCGAGTTGATTGACTGACGCTGCGGAGATCCAGGAATGCTCGTCAAAGGAACCGCAGCCAACTTGGGTTGGAGAGCCGGTCGACGCTACTGAGGGAATTGATGGGTTCGATTCAGATTGCGACATGGCAGAGAATTGGTCTTCTGAAGAAGAAAGAGCCAGCCCGCGGCTTGATCCGCCGAGAGGACTATTCTCGGAGGACTGATCGTTTCGGTGCCAGCTTTCTCGATTATTGGATTGACAGAAGGCTATCTCGTCATCTGGACTTGGAGGACATGCAGTCGGTGCATGAGAAGATGTAGGCCGTGATCGTGTAACAGAGTTGGTTCTCTCACGAGCTGCTGACTGTTCCACTCCAAGTCGACGACGGTACTCATCCTTAGCGCGATCAAAACGGTCATCTGACTTTTTTCGTGCAATCGAAGTAGGGCTGGAAGGTCTTTGATCGCCGGCTTGGAGCAGTTGCGACGATGGCTTGGAGTCAGGCGCCATACCAAGAGTTGGTCCAACTTCAAAGTTGTTGGCGGTCGCCCAGTTGCGATGCAGGCGGGAGGACAGTGACGACAACGAAGATTGCCGCGACGAGGGGTCAAGACGTTCAAAAGACTGAGCTTCGGAATGGCTAGGCGATGAGCTTCGAGCAATGGGAGACATGTCTTTTAGGGCGTCAGGTTGATTGACTTGGCCGGAAGCACATGTGGTGCTGATTGCCAGGCTTGGGACGCCATGGGCATCATCGTCTCCACCAACGAGTCTATCGATTGACCTCGCGCGGCTATGTTCTTTTGGGGGCTTCAACTTGTCTTTGCTTCTCATGCTGTTAACAACACGCCGGGGTAGACCGCCGAAAAGACCGCCCAGCTGTGAGCCACCAGGTGTGTCTAGGGCCGTTGGGGTTCCAGGTAGAGCTGGAGGAAAGCCTGGAGATGCGGTTCGACCCGGAAGCAGATCTGCTTGTCTGATGGTGCTGATGGAAGAAATGGCGCGGTCTTGCATTTGGGGTCGCTGTTGGCTCTCGAGGTTCTGGGCGGGTGATGCAGTGCGGGAGTTGGGACTGTCAAAGTATCTTGACCGTTCTCTCGCTTCCGGACTCGCTGTAACACTGTGAGAGAGCGGATGCTCAGCTTCACGGGAGCGTGTCAGAATTTCTAGGATAGCACCAGGTGCTAGACTGCCACGTCGACCTTCATAGGGCCGGGCGTCTTGGCTGATGGTACTACTCGAAGAGTTTGCGCTGATGTTTGGGGGCGCGTCCTGATTGGTAGCTGAGCTCTGCGCACGTCGTCTTGAACCTGAACTGCGAGTTGTGAAACCTTTGACAAACTCGGATGTCTTCTTAGCGGCTGAGCGGAGGCGGTCGACGAACCCGATGGGGACAACGGCCTCTTCGACATCTTCTCTGGAAATCTGAATTTTCCTTCCATCGTAGGATTTGCTAGGATCCGTCTCTTCTGCCCATGAGACGTGATTGGGAATACCAGATAGCAGCCATGGGTGACGCTTGATCTCTGGTATGGTGATGCGACGTCGCGCGTCCTTGATCAGCAATCGTCGCAGCAGGTCACGTAAGTTTTCATCAACTTCTTCGTATTCAAGATCATGCGGTGCTCTCTTCGTGCTCGTCATTGGCTGACTGTTGCGTCCGTGAGAGTTGGGTCGCGAGTTTGATTGCTCAGCGACAGGTTTCAGCCGATACCTAGGGATGTAGGGCTCAT